CAGGGTAGGTACGTAGTATAGCCGCTTATTGTCTGCTGTCGAGAATATTTGGCGTAGAGGACTGGAGAGCGCGCTGTGGGGCCCAATTTCAAGAAAGAGTCTTTCTTCCTTGTCGGCGTCTGTCAATGTTTGGACTGCACTGCTGAAGAGCACCGGAGATTCCAAATTCTGTCGCCAGTATCTGGCATCTAAGCGGGCTGGCTCGCAAATCACTTCCCCAGTGACCGTGGAGATGAGGGGGACCATGGACTTATTGGATGTCAGGTGTGAACCCAGATACGTCTCAAAGGACTCCCCGAGATCCTTCATATGGGGAGAATGGTAGGCAACATTTACCGCCAGACGCCTGCAGAAGATGTCGTCGCTGGCCTGTATTTCTTCAACCACTTCATTTATAGCTTTCTGGTCCCCGGAAATAGTGACGTTTTGTGGGCTGTTCTCGCATGCTACCACAACACCCTCCCTCAGGTAAGGTCTGATCTGTTCGCGTCCTAATCCAACCGCAGCCATGGCGCCATTCGATCTTGACGACATAATAGTTTGGCCCCGCAGATATGCAATACGTATGGCTACCTCTGCGGGTATTGCGCCGGAAGCATATGCCGCGGCGATCTCACCACTGGAGTGTCCGATCACTGACGAAGGTTTGACTCCCCATTCAGAGAGTATGTTCACAAGACCTATTTGAACGGCAGTACATAAAGGTTGTGCCACATCAGCTTGTTTGAGCCTGTCCGGGTCATCGCACTGAAGAAGCTTCCCTAAAAATTCCCTAAAAGAGTTAATAGAATATGAAGTCGGGTGCCAAGTTCGCCCACCTTCAATGGTCCACTTTGGTGGGCTCTCTAGCGACTGCAGCACGCGATCCAGCATTTTGATATCCTGTCGGAATCTCTCGCTTTCAAGGAACAACTCTCTTCCCATTCCCGGCCATTGCGCGCCCTGTCCGGTGAATACAAAAGTCACCTGTGGACACCCAGACTTTAATCTCTCAAAAGACGAAACCTGGCCGTTGCTATCAGAGATTGCGAAGGCTCGGTGGACCATATGTTCTCTTTTTAAGGCTAGGGTATATGCGAGGTCACTGGGGCAAACCGAGCTAGTGCTGATGTAAGCCTTGAGAGACTCGATATTCCCCTCTAATGACTTGGGTGATTTGGCTGAAACAAGCAACAAATGAGAAGAGCATTTGTCCGACACCCTGTCAGATAATCCTTCTTTACACACGGTCGATGCGGAATCCATGATGAGCTTATTTGGTCAGCTAACAGGGCCGTTACTCAACGATTATCCGAAGATGAGACCTACATGGGCATTGGTACCCCCGACTCCAAATGAATTCACACTGACTCGTTCACATCGATCGATGGGCCACGGCATGGCCTTGGTGGGAACCTGTAAGTTTGCTTGCTCAAAGGGTACTAAGGGAAATGCAAGTGTCAGTTTCAAAAAGAACAAAGTATTGTACTGGACATACTGTTGGGATTTGGATCGTTGAAGAAGACATTCGGCAGGATAGTCTTTTTCTCCAATGACAAGACACATTTTATGATGCTTGTAATTCCTGAAGCACCTTCTGAATGACCGACATTCGCTTTCACCTGGCTTTAGTTAGCTTGTTATACTTTAGGAAATAACAGGACCCAACATACTGCACCGATGTGTATACCATGCTCCCCAAAGACTTTTGCCACAACTGGCGTCTCTGCTATATCTCCGGCTACCGTGCCAGTGCCATGACACTCAAAAAAGCCTGTGTTGAACACATCCGTAATCTGTGCTCTCTGGTATGCTCGCCGGATTAGGCGCTCTTGTGCCTGTGAGCCCGGGGTGGTTATACTAGGCGTTTTACCGTCACAATTGACAGCAGTTGACCGAATAACCGCTCGAACGGGGTCCCCATCCCTCAGGGCGACATCCAGCGGTTTTATGTAGATTGCATTCACGGCCTCCCCTCTGCCGTAGCCATCCGCCGCGGCATCAAATGTCCTGCAAATCCCACTCTTCGAGATGACCATATTGTCAGACATGGAGGTGGTCATAGTCGGTGTGATGATCAAGTTAGTTCCAGCAACCAAGGCAGAGGAGCATTCCCCCGAGTACAAAGCCTGGCAGGCCTCATGCAAGCCTACTAAGGAGGACGAACAGCCTGTTCGAATGGTCATGCTCGGGCCCCGCAGGTCAAATTCATATGATATCCGATTTGATAGAGCAAAATCCCCAGCTCCAATGACCCGATATCGATCATTAGCCTGGGTGTCCTTGCTCAGCAGATCCAACCAGTCCTCTCCAAAGACGCCTACATAGCATCCGATGTTTTTCCCACGCCATTGTGTCTGACCTCCGTTCTCCATGCACTCCCACACAATCTCCAACAGCATTCGCTGTTGCGGATCCAGCCTGGCAGCCTCGGCCTTGCTCATTCCAAAGAAAGAAGCATCGAAATGCGCTATATCCCGCTGGAGAAAATATCCATGCTGCGTCCGAATCGCACCAGAGGTCGACTCCTTGTGGAAGGCGTCGATATTATATCTATTGCCGGGGACTCGGCACAGACCGTCTCGTTTGTCTGTCAAGAAGTCCCAGAACTCCTTCTCGCAATTGACACCTCCCGGCAGCCTCATTGACATGCCCACGATGGCGATTGGGAATGGAACTGGAGCGACATCGCCATCATTACTCTCGGCTCGATCTTCCTCGGTGTCTGTCGGGGGATTTATCGGTCTTTGCGGCAATGAACACAAATTGGCAGCAGAGAGTCTGTCAGACTGCGCCGCTCCAACTGCTAGATTCAATGGCAAGTCCGCTGTTAACACCATTCTGTTGAGCTAGATCGAGTCTCGTGGCAAATTGACAACTGTAGGATATCGATACTGGTGAAGTGATAAGAATAACCCCTTCAAGACCCTGAGTCCAGGGACATTGTAACTTAAAAGGCGTTGCGCTTCCCCATACGCTTGCTACATTTTCCTTCATCCCCGCTCCTCCTTACCTGGAACTGCGCAAATAGGACCAGCGATTGCGAGTCACCTCAGACCTTATGCAAGGGAATGCAACCACCATCTTGACCGCTGGTATTTTGGTAACAACTGTCCCTTGCATTGAACGGTGTAGAAAACAGGAATTGCGCCACTGAGCGAATGCTACAAACATAATGGAATGTAATGATCGTTAGCCGCAGCGAATGTATCATAAACTTGATTTCCTTTACACTCCCTCATATCAACTCATGGTCACGGATGAGCGAGAGGATAAGCTTCGAGTTTAGAGCAACGAGAAGGGATACTATGCTCGTGCTCCTGTCTCCCTGTTGTTACGCTTTTGTCCCTTGCTGCCAGGGCCTCTTAGGCTAGCCTATCCAGACGGAGCCTGAAAGTTAGTAATGCTATAGACACGTCCCACTCCTTTGGGTTTCCGGCCGCTACAGTACTTCCTTGCTGTCTGGCAGTGTTTGATAGACCTCCTTATAAATTCAGGTAGCAGCTTGCGTCACTGGTCGTTTGTTCTGATAGTGATTGCATTTGAGTTCCCCGGCTAAGCAGGTCGTTTTCGACAAAATAAAAATGCAACAGGAGTTCGGGTCAAGTGCATATAGAGGGCTTGGTACACGTTCACTTTCAGTACAAAGAAGGGAGTGATCATCTCTGCGGGCGATTTTCAATCCCAACATCTGTTGATGGTATCCGAATGGCCCAATGGACATTCTTCAACAACGTAGTATTGACCTGCCATATACAACATTTGGCTATGTTGATAATACTGGCTTGAGTAAGGCCGAGCGGACGGGAAGCCTGTTTCCAAACCCTATGGTGGTATGTACTAGAGGCAGGTGAAGATGTTTGGAAGAACAATTTCTGGCAGTCTGTGATCACTCTAGTATACTCATCATTATGCCTGAGCCTAGAGATGGTAAGACTGAGGGGAGGCAATGCTGGTAAGCGAGAAATCCATTCTGATCCTGCCGGGATTTGACCCTGAATCACATAGTAAGAATCTCATGCGATCCCAGATATGAGCCTTGGCAGAGGCTAGCCTATCCAAAGCCATATTGATTAGCATTACCTTCATGTGAGATTGTGGTGCATCAGAATACTTACTATCTTTCAGTAAGACAGTGGGAGTGAGATTAAGCAAGCGCCGAGGTGATACCAGCCCTCTTGATTTATTTCCCTCCAATAGGAGTAAAGTAGCGGGTGGTATCAGTGTCTTGTCTAATGCTTAGGTCCTGAAGCACAAATAGGCTAATTTCACAGGTTCTGTGCATTTTCCGAAATGTCTCTAGCTCGTAACAGGGATGTTCAATCTATCAGGCTGGGAGGCTAATCGCTGCTACCGAGGTTACATCAGGCTACTTGGGCGAAATTGGTTCATGAGATAGTTCGCTTCTCGCTATTAAGCAATGTCTCTATCTCTGTTATTGTTTCCTTTTTCTTGCTCCCCTTCCTCGCGCTGTCAGTTTGCGGGGGATTAGTTTCCCTCCTCAACATTATCTTTGCTTTATCCTCAGCTACTTAGAAAAATATATAGATGGGCCAATATATCCAATCTCATTCCTGTCAGCTACTCGTTCTGGCCTTGTCGAAGCCCTTGTAAATTCAATATAGATGATATGGCTAGGTGTCAGCTCAACAAAGGCACGTTCTATCCATAACTAATTGAGCGTGCGGATTATTAGCGTGGAAAATCGAATCTGCTTGTAGTACATATATATGCCGTGTGATTTAATAGGAGGGCATTGGTCTCAGGTTGAATATGCATATTAGTATTTTATGCTAGCCAGGACCGTCTCAGTCTTTGCTGTCCACTCGTAGGCCATAGCTCGTCACACCCTTGCAGCCAGTAAGACGTTTACTCGACCTCTATAAGCCTATGATCCTATCTATCCTCCAGGCGAACTCTTGGTTGAGGCCTGTTCCCCTGCAAGTCCGAACGACGACGTCCTGACAGCCCGCAAAGAAACATTGACAAGACTCTCTCACATCTGTTCAAGTTAACACTTTTCAAAGCAGTGGGTGTAGTACAACATACATGATTGCAATATTCAGATCAAAGAGTACCAGATCAATCTTTTCCCAGCCATGCAGGTGGGGGTTAGGGTCGTCCGCATAGTTGTAGTCGCTTAGCGCAATCGCCGGGATACTGATCCCTGCTAGAATACAGGCCACAACATCTAGCAAGATGAGTGTTGGCAAATATGATGGTTTTCGGAACAATAGAGCCAGAGCCAGGACGTCCACGGCGATTGCCAGGGAGGCCTGTATCCGTTAGATTATCCAATCCCATGACACGTTGATCCAACACGTACTGCGGCCAAAACCGTCCGGTAGATCTTGTTGGAGTCCTCCGGCCCCCATCTAGCAGCAATGTATGCGGCTATAGCCAGGTAGGAAATGGAACAGAAGAAAAGGGGCACACGGCCGATGAGATGAACCCATGTGATTGTATTAATTGTAGTGCGGGCCATGGTGTGTTAGTGTGGTGTTGGCTGCTGAGGCAGTACCAATGGAAATGCCATAAGCAGTAATCGAGGAGAGTAAAGGGTGCGATTATATCATGAAAGAAGAAGGACCACTGACTCGAAATAAGTACATATAGCCTCGAAGGTAGTGTGCGGCCTAAACGGCTGGCTTTAGTGTAGTTGGCACTGCGTGGGCTGTGCTTAGCGCCGCACGATGTCACCCAATCTACTAGAACTACTTCGTATTATATTAGACGTGAAAAATATAGCCGATTGATTGGCGGATTCTCCCTGGTTACGATCCTTCTTAGATGCACCTCCAAATTAATCTTCCTGTTCCTGTTCTTGTCAAATGCAGGCTCTGGTTAGACCCTCGCTCGCTTATACCTCCCGGGTATATCGGCTGCATGGGCTTGAAATTAGATATGCCGCTGCTATTCGAATCTGAAATGACCAAGAAGATCAAGATGTCTCGATGTTTTGGCCTCGAGTGATTAGGGGTCCTTTTGGGCAGGGTTGAGCATGCGATTCTGTGGAGGATGGTGAAGATATATAAGGCGACCTTTTCGCTGCACCAAGCTGTATAGAATCTTCACAGCATGCATCATTAACCAGTCACTCCTTCATTGCTTATACTAACCACTTTCGTTACTTTCATATTCGGAAGATGGCCGCCCACACGGCACTTACACTCTTTTTTTTGATATTTCTTCATGTGCAATACTCTCTCTCGTCAGGCATTCCAGTCCATGCGGTCCGGAAGCCCGCTGTAGCAGCTCTCCAAGCCCATGGCATCCATATTCCCCCGCGCGTAATCAACGCTACCCAAGCCCAGATCGATCAGGCATACGCCATCGTCAATGCATCTATCGCTCAGGCTGCGAAGCTCAACGAAGCCCGTGTGAAGAACCCTGCTCGCAACGCCTACAAGCTTGCCCCTGGCACTATCATCAAGCGCGACTCCAATGATACTCAGACTGGCATCAGGCAGCCCCCTCCCCTATTGAACATTACTACCGAGATTGCCAATGCTGCTGCCCTGATTGCCGAGATCCAGGCATTGAACACGGCGAATGCATCCCGCACTGCCTTGACGAAGCGATCCAGCTTCTGGATGGAGAACATATCGCGCAAGGGAAGTGTCCCTTGGGGGAATATTGATGGGTTTCAGGTTCGCTCACATCACTCTGCAACACATGCTCAGCATTGACTGTACGCAGGTGTTCAGAAACGTCAAGGATTTCGGTGCCGTGGGCGATGGTGTACATGTAGGTGTCTACACCGTGCAGGAGCTTCCGGAACTGACCGTTGTAGGACGATACGGAAGCGATCAAAACTGCAATTATGGCTGCGTCGAGTGGTAATAGAAAGAGCGCACGCTGCGGCGCTGGCTGTTATGGGTCTTCCACCCAGAATGCAATCGTCTACTTTCCACAGGGTACGTCAACCACTCCATCAACTCCATCAAAGGATGGATCTGACCAGTAATAGGAACGTATCTTGTGAGCAGCACAATCGACGTCGTATTCGGCACTCAGCTTATCGGAGATGCTACCAATTGGCCAACTATCAAAGCAGCACCATCGTTCGTGGGCATGGGTGTCCTCGCGACAGATGAATATGTGCCAAATGGTGGGAATGGCGCGGATGGGAATGCGAAAGAGTGGTATATCAACACGGTTCGTGTCACGAGTCCAGCCCATGATTGACTATGAATACCACGTCTAAACAACGTCTAGGCAAGCTTCTACCGCCAGATCCGAAACTTCAAGATCGATATCAGAGCCTCCTCGCAGGACGCATACATTTGTGCTATCCATTACCAGGTGGCACAGGCTACCAGTTTGCAGTACGTCGAGCTCATTTCGACGAGCCCGTCGGATAACCCTGCCACGACTCAGCAGGGAATTTGTATGTTCATCCACCGATACATCCCTAGCCATGGCTGACGTAGGCACAGTCGCAGAAAATGGCAGCGGAGGGCAGATGAGCGATCTGACTTTCACTGGGGGCAATTTCGGTCTCTATGGCGGGAGCCAGCAGTTCACTGCGCAGCGGCTCACATTCAAAGGGTGTAAGACTGGAGTCCAGTTAATCTGGGACTGGGGTTGGGTAAGAGTCATCAGTCAAACAATAAGCCATAATATACACTGACGACAGCACAGACGTGGAAGAGCATAGAGATGGATGGTGTTGGCACTGGATTCCGCCTCATCAGTGAGGACGGAACTGGCAACATTGGATCTGTCTACGTTATGGACACCAAATTCACCAATGTCGCCACTGCCATACTGACGAAGCCGGCCTCGAAGGATCCCGGGACGGGCACCACCGGCATCACTCTTGATAACGTGGCCTTCAGTAATGTTCAGCACTACGTGTTTGACACAAATGGCAAGGAATATGTCGAGGGAGCCCCCTCATCCGTGGACACATGGACATTGGGTCCAGTGTATTTCAGGGGCACAACGAGGGATGTCTCCCTCGGTTACTCCTTCACCACTCCACGCAAGAGTCCTCTGGTCGGCACCAGCAATGGTCTGCCGAAGAGTCCATTCTTCGAGAGGGCAAAGCCGCAGTATGAGGATCTGGATGCTTCAGCTTTCGTTCACGTGAAGGATCACGGCTGCAAAGGTACGTCACAGCTCCATAGCTCTTTGAGTGCGAGCTAACGAGTCTAGGCGACGGTTCCACCGACGACACGGCTGCTTTCCAGGCTGTCCTAGACGCCTATGGCAACTCTGGATCGGTCATTTTCGTGGACGCCGGCACGTACATTCTGACCGATACTGTGACGGTACCTCCTGGTACCCGCATCGTCGGTGAAGCATGGTCTCAGCTGGCTGCCTCCGGGTCCAAGTTCTCCAGCATCAAGTATGTATCCGTCCGAGATAATCAATTGCATTTCTGACATGATACTAGGTACCCGCATGTGATGTTTAGGGTGGGCGACAAGGGCTCCGTCGGCTCCGTCGAGATACAGGATCTCCTTTTCACGACCAAAGGGGCCACCCCTGGAGCGATCCTCATCGAGTGGAACCTCCTGGCTGATAAGCAAGGCTCTGCGGGCATGTGGGGTACGTATATTCTATATTCGTTGCGTGGCTGCTCGTAATATTTGCTAACAAGTCAGACTGTCACACGCGGTTGGGCGGCGCCACTGGTACTGAACTGACGCCGTCGGAATGTCCCCCTTCAACAACTGGCACCGATAGTGGATGTTCTGCGGGCAGTCTGATGATGCACATCACTTCGACTGGAAGCGCATATCTGGAGAATGTATGGCTCTGGGTTGCAGACCATATGACAGAGTGAGTTTGCTGGCCGCGATTGATACGCCTACTGACAGTGGCTAGCGATCCAAACTGGACCGACGACGGTAATGACATGGTACGACAAAGAAAACCTGTCTAATAGTAAGCTAAATATCAACTGACACTCCACAGGTTCAAAACTCCATATACAATGCCCGAGGCTTCCTCATTGAAAGCACAGCTGCAACCTGGCTGTACGGCACAGCATCAGAGCACTCGGTATACTACCAGTACAACATCAACAATGCCAAATATCTGTTCGCGGGCATGATTCAAACAGAGTCTCCGTATTATCAACCAACTCCTACGCCGCCAGCTCCCTTTGCCGACGCCGTTGGTGTCTTTCGTGGCGATCCGTCCTTTAGCTGCCAGGCTGGAGAGGCCGGATGTGACGAGTCGTGGGCAGTGATGATCCAGAATTCAGAGGACGTCTTCATCGCTGGTGCTGGTTTATATTCTTGGTTTTCCACCTATTCTCAAACATGCGGTATGGCTTCTGAAGTCTTTCTAAAAGGGTCATACTGACAGGATTAGTGGATTCTTCCAACTGCCAAAAAACGCTGGTCTACATGGATACCAACAAAGATGTTATCATCCATAACCTGATCACAATCGGGGCAACGAACATGATAACGTCGGATGGGTCCACCATTCCATCCAAAGACAATCTCGCCGTCAAGAGCCATCCCTACTGGAGCCAGCTGACCGTCTTCTATCCCATCCAGAACACTCCTGACCCGTGCAAGGCAAGCAACGGTATCTCAACCCTGGCACGGCGACATGCCCGAAGGAGAGTTCTTCCCCGGCCCAGACGGTGCAGGCTGGCCGGGCACCAAAGACGAGGCGCTCATCACCTACGTGACTCTCGTCAACGGCTGTCCGCATGATTTCACACTAACCAGCAAGCATTCCTACCAGATGCCCACTTTTGATTTTGATACTGTCCCTTCTGGCGCATCCCGCCAGAACAAGCAGGAATACCAGCAGGACGGCGCGAAGATCTTTGTAGATGACAAAGGCGAGGCATACTATTCGATCACCGACACAGACGACACGTTCCAACTGCAGGCTCGCACTAATTCAGAGAGCGACCACCGCATGCGTGAGGTGTACTACTTTGACAATTTCGCCACGGACGACGTCACCAAAAACTCGTCCTTTGAACTCATGGACCGGGGCGGCCACCGCGCTTTCAACCTCATCATAACCGGCAGCGAGCGCTACGGCCACTATTGGACATCAGTCAACCCGCCGGTAGCATGGATGCATGCTATCCTAGATGTCATTGGCGAGCGCAAGCTCCGTCATGTCAGTATGATTGGGTCGCATGATGCTGGGATATCCAAACGGAATGGGGGAACTGCGTGTACGTTACCCCGACTCCACCTGTTTTGAAGAAGAAACTGACACCGAATCAGTCGCCGATGCGGACAACTCCCAGACGCAGAAATTGAACATCTCAGGGCAGCTCGGCGCCGGCTCGCGGTTCTTCGATATCAGACCGGTAGTCGGCAACGGCGGCCAATACCTCGCTGGCCACTATAACCTGCCGTCCTCTGTGCCGCAGGGGATCAACGGGGAGTATCTGACTGACATCGTGGACGAGATCAACGGCTTCACAGCGACCAACGGCGAGCTGATCATCCTGCACATTTCCCACGCCTACAACACCGACGAGGGCTACCGCGACATGAACAACGACGAGTTCAACAAAGTCTTTGACATCATGCAGGGACTAACCCACCGCTGCGGTGGCCTAGACGGCGACCTAACCGACAAAACCATCAACGATTTCATCGGTGACGGCAACGCCTGCGTGCTGATCATCTCCGATGGCGGCACCGCGCGACCCGCCGAGGGCATCTACAACACGGGATCCTCGTTCGGCTGGGACGGCGAAGGCCACTGGTCGAACACGGACTCCATCAGCGATATGGCAAGTGACCAGCTGTCATATCTTGCATCGCATCGCAACATAATCCAAGATGACGGAAAGAGGCTGGACAAGTTCATGGTGATGCAGTGGATCCTGACGCTGGAGGGCCTGGAGAACGCCCCTGGGACGGGGCCGGATGACCACAGTATCAGTATTGAGTAGTTTGCGACCCGGATGCCGTATGATGCGCTGTTTTGGAAGGCGTGGAATGCGTTCACGCCGTGGAGTTATCCGAATGTGGTGCTGCTGGACTATGTGGGAGATTTGCAGCAGTTGTACGATGATCAGCCTGTGGGGAAGGAGCTGATTACGTTTGCTATGGCGATGAATCTGGCTATCGCCAGTAAGAATTGCTATGTCGGGGGTGGGACGATCTACTGATCGTTGCCTGGCAATGCTTGGGTAAAGACGTGGAATGAATCTAGGCATAACTGTACAAACACTACTAATAGGGTGTCAATATAGATGATCCTGGACTAGCTGGGTTTAGAAAAATGACTGACAAAAGAGTTCGACCACGTTGAGTGTACGGTTTATCTACATGGTCTTTTCAGGAAAAAATAGAGACTCTGCAGACCTCGGTATCAGTGGCAATTCTGAAGACGTCTAACCTGATTCTGTCAGGCTGATAGCTCATACCACGTCTTCCCAGACTTGTATAAAGTCGAAGACAATCATGAATCAGCTTTATTTCCCGAGAATGAGTATGCAGTTCTGAGGAGTACTATAATCCGAGCGTATTCCAGACCAATGCTTGCACTTGCAGAGAGACTATTTCACTGTTTGTCCATGGCGGTGGAACCTTTCAATGAGCTGGTGAGCTGAAGACAGCCACTAGGGGTCTTCGAGGCAGAGAAATTCACCGTTAAGAGGTAGAGGGCGAAGGATATGTAAATAGCGGCGGAAGGGATAAACACTGGCGGACCCGGCGCTGGGATAGTGCTTTTAGCCCCCTTGTTAGCCTATACACCTCACTGGGAAAGCCAAAGGTGACTCTTTCTACAAGAGTCTGTGACGAATATGAATTCACCAGGCTATCAAAGAGGACAATGTACTCGGACTAATCTCGTTAGTTCTAGCTTGATGCTTATTTTTATTACCTTGTCATTAAATTTGAGGGCTTCTGCCAAGAACCCTCTTAGCATCCGCCCTCAAATTGAAAGTACTTTAAGTCCTGACCACGTGAATGCTGGTGGTTAGTCCTATCAGTACTATGATTGAATTCCCTCTACTCCAAGCGGAGAAATTCCGCTGTCCCTGATTGACAGTGAGTGTGGGCCTTGCCCGGATGATATCTGTCTCCAATCTCCATATGCTATGAACTTTCGGCATGTCCATCGGCAGGCAACGCGGGGAAGAAAGGAGCTACCCCGATTTGCACGCGTCTGATTGGACCCCGCATGTTCCGAAATCGCGCCAAGAAGCACAAGCTCTTCAGGGCGGACAACTTTCCACGCCCGTTCGGTACTTGACTGTTGGTATCTCCCAGCTGTAGACTAGTAGGTTGTTAAAAGGCTCTTATTGTCTCCCTTGGGAAAGGTAGTTCGCACTCACGCATCAAAAAATCACAATGAACGGCGATATACAGACCAAGAAACGGAAATGGGAAAGTGATGCGCGTGTTGACTCCGCTGCCACAGGCTTCTTTGAGGCATTGGGTATATGAACCTTGCTATTGTGGATGGACAGAGCTGATAGGATGCAGTTGAGGCTGGAGTCAAGTACTGCTTTGTGAACTTGTAGGTTGGCAGTCCTCTTTGCTCCCATCATACTGACTGTGATCAGGGGGAGTGATCATCCGGCTATGCTCGAGGCCATGATCAAAGCGAAACAGGGTATGTATTCAGATTTTGAGTAAGCCTCACACTGACGAAAAATGAAGAAAACTCGACCAAATTCCCTACGATCATCACCTGTCCTTCAGAACTTGTCGCCTTATCGGCGGCCTTGGGTTATGCTCAAGTTACCGGATCTCCAGTACGTTTCTGCTTATTACGGGAATTGAGTCTCACTGACTCGAAAGCAATGCGTCATTGTACATGTCGACTGCGGAACCCTAGCGATGGGCCAATCCATCCACAATGCCTCCGTCACCCGAGTACCCGTCCTGTGTTTTGCGGGATTGAGTCCATTCACTGACAGCGGGGAGATGCTCGGTTCCAGAACAGAGTGAGTTATTTGTCCTTTTGTCTGCAATGCCGTCTAACAGCCGTAGGTTCATCCACTGGCTGCAAGATGTCCCCGACCAAGCATCTATCGTGCGACAGTACTGCCGCTATTCAGGCGAGATCCGCACCGGCCGCAACATCAAGCAGATGGTGTATCGGGCTATGCAGTTTGCCATGTCTGATCCAAAGGGTCCAGCGTACCTTACTGCTGCACGAGAAGTGCTAGAGGAGGTAAGCTGTCGCTCTCATTTCGAGGTGGGTGACTTATGAAAGCAGCAAGTGGAAATTCCCGACCTTGGGAACGATCTCATGGGTCCCGTTACCCCGTGTGCTTTGCCTGAACCAGAAGTCGAACGCATCGCCGCTGCTCTGGTGGATGCCAAACGGCCGTTGATCATCACAGGCTATATGGGCCGGAACCCACGGACCCCGCCGCTCCTGGCAGAATTATGCGACAAGCTTCCTATCAGCGTGGTTGAGACTGTTGGGTCGGACGTGAGTCTTCGCAGTGATCACGAGGCATATCTCGGTGTGACTGTCAGCACGCATCCGGCTGTATGCGAAGCGGATGTCATCCTCGTGATGGACTGTGATGTTCCTTGGGTTCCGACGGCCGGCAAGCCTGCAGATGGTATGCTCTTCTACAATTCTTTCAGACAATGGCTCACATAGCATAGGAACGAAGGTATTCCACCTCGACGTGGACCCGTTGAAGCAACAGATGCCAGGTGAGCTCAAATTCTCCGCCGACTCTACTCGATACCAACGGACGTAGTCTTCTTCATGCAAGCCATCCGACGATACAAGGTCAGCTGCGAGCTAGCCCTGCAACAGCTCAACGCCTACCTCGACAAGCAATGTCTGGATCGAGGCAAATACGCCGAGGCATTCGACGCACGCGCAGCACGCTACAACAAATGGAGACAGACCCTATGTGACCTCGAAGTACCTCCACCAGAAGGCACCGTGACGGTTCCATTTCTGTCGTCCAGACTCCGGCAGCATCTCCCTGAGGACAGTGTCATTGTGATTGAAGCGGTCACCAACGCCATTCCTATCATCCACCACTTGAACCTTACCAAGGTATGTGTGCCACTGTCACTTCCCTCGACCTCACCTGACTGACACACCAGCCCGGAACGCTCTACGGGAGCGGCGCAGGCGGCCTCGGCTGGGGCGGCGGTGCAGCGCTGGGGGTCAAAATGGCTAAACGAGATTCTTTCATCTGCGCAATGTAAGCTTCCAGCTTATTGCAGTATACAGCAGAGCTAACAGCTATAGCGTCGGCGACGGCACATACCTCTTCTCGCAGATGGAATCCGTGTATTGGATCGCACGGCGATACGACATTCCTTTCCTCCTGATTGTGCTGAATAATAGCGGCTGGAATGCACCCAAGGTGTCGACGTTGCTTGTCCATAAGGACGGACTGGCGTCCAAGTCTAATAGAGCGGGTAGGCTTTCTTTTTCGGCAGAGTAGCTCTCCATGCTGATGGATGTAGATTTGAACCTGTCGTTCGAGCCGTCGCCGGATTACCCCGGGATTGCGGCTGCGGCCGGCAACGCGTGGGGAGCGACGGTCAGCAAGACGGACGATGTTGATTCGACGCTGAAGAAGGCCGTTGAGGTTGTCCAGAGGGGCCGGTGTGCGGTTGTTGAAGCTCGGTGAGTTTCCTCCTTGTGTTCAGGGTCAAGTGCTGATGATAGGTAGGGTTCCGTCGATGTGGGTGGAGAAGTGATATGCATACTGTCTTTGAGGGCATCCAAGAGTTGAGCTCATAGAGACCTGAATTAAGCTCTTTTGTTCCTTAGAGGGACAACGCCTTGCAAGCACAGTGATCGAGTATATGCTCAGTGTAAGTATTTCCATGTTAATTAGCGTAGTATCAATTACAGAGCCTATCAACGCGTATATGAGTGATTATATGTACTACTATTCTTTTAGAGATCGATCGTCACGGTCGATGCCAGTTGCCGTCAGATAAAGGTACACTAAGCTGGCAGAAGCCAACGTTAATAGGATTCTGTAGTCAGAAGGAGAGTTCAATACCCTTATCAAAGTTTATCCCGCTTCTACCGTATTGATTGGCTATTCTATTAAGTGATCAAGGGCCGATCTCAGTCGATCTGATCGATCTGGGATTCAATCGCGATGATGGACGATTGCGGAAGTTGATGTCATGGTCACGCATGACAATCATATTTAAGCATAAGGTGGCCACAACTTCAATCTGACTCCTCAATTTAATTTTCGAATCCGTTAATGTAGGAATAGCTGTAGATAGCGAAATGCCCCAAAAGAAAAACCGAGTCGCAATTGTTGGCGCTGGGCCGGCAGGCATGGTAAGCCGTGCTTTCACCAGGTCCATCTGTGAAGAACCCAGTTGAACAGTTGAATGAATAGTCCTGCGCCTCTGCTCTCGCCAACCATCCTGATCGCTTCGATGTGACCCTCTTCGATATTGCCTCCTACACCGGCGGCCAAGCAACCTCCATTTCCATCGACGAAGCCCGGTACGGGGCCGACTGGCTCAACGATGGCGTGCAGGGTGGCTCCCCGATCTTCCGACACACGTTTAACTTCTTCCGGCGGTATGGCTACGAGCCTCACCCCGTGAAACTGCAAGTCGCGTTCGGCAAGGGCGTGGAGAACTTCTTCACGAATGTCTTTCCGTCGCCGCTGGTCGACCAGCTGTCTGACGAGATCAAGAAGTTGGGCCGCGTACTCAAGTGGATTAAGCGCCTGCTTCCGATCCTGGGGCTCATGCCTATCAAGGTGCTAATGAAGCTGTTCCGGTTTAGCGAGGAGTTTGCCAATAAGATGGTTATCCCGATTATGGCGCTCTTCTTGGGGACAGGGAACCAGACACCGAACGTTTCGGCCGCACTGCTGGAGAGGCTATTTGATGATCCCAATATGAGACTGTGGGAGTACGATCCAGACACACTCCTCCCCAATCAGCCGACCATGTACACCTTCCCCAAGCTCGGCGACTTCTACCGCGACTGGGCCGCAGACCTCGCGTCCAAAGGCGTGGACGTCCGTCTCAACACAGCGGTTGAAATCCTGCAACGAGACAAACACGGCATCACCCTCCGACCCCGACCCACCCGTCCGGACAGCGCAACCGCGGAAGCAGTCCTAGACGACTTCCGCGAGACGTACGACGAGCTCGTTCTCTCGCTTCCCGCCGACGAGGCCAAGGCCCTGCTCGGCAAACACGCCACCTGGCGCGAGCGGTACGTCCTCGGCGGCGTGGCCTTCTACAACGACATTACCATCACCCATTCCGACAGCAAGTACTTCAACAGCATCTTTGAGACGCGGTACAAGCCTGACCTCTGTGCCAAGGGCGTCTCAGCTACTAAACAGGAGCAGATCGCATTCGCGAAACGGCAGCCGCCTACGTGCACAGCGGACGGCTGGGAGGGCTTCGCGCCGATGTACTTCACGCACTCGTTCGCCAACGCGCCGCAGTGCATCGAGATGGGCTTCGACTGTTCGAATTACCAGCATCAGTTCCGGGAACGCATCGGGGTGGGGAATACCCCGCTCGTGCCAGAGAGGCATGTCTACCAAACGATCTACCTGAACGATCAGCAGAAGCACCTGTGGACGTGGGAGAGCGTTGATCCCGATAAGATCATTGCGAAGAAGTGGTGGCGGCAGTTTGGGCATCGGTGGCAGCATTATCTGCGGGTTGTGCCTGGGATGATGTTTATTAATGGGAGGAATCGGACGATGTATGCGGGGGCTTGGACTATGGTGGTAAGTCTTGGTTTTCTCCTTGGATGTGGTGGACTGGCTGACGAGGCGTTGCGTCTAGAATATGCATGAAATTGCGTGCATCTCCGGTCTAGCAGCTGCGTATCGCCTTGGGGCTGCGTATGAGCCGTTTGATGATTTCGCGGAGGATCTGTTCGCCAAGTACCTGCTTGTGTCGCATGGGGTGCGGTATAAACGAAGCCAGTGATCATCCATTCATTGCGTGTATAGCCTATGAGCAACCACAAAACGTATCGAAAGCTCTCAAACTCCAGGGACGTCTTGTTGGCGCCAACTCTTGGGTTCTATTCAACTCCGTCACTGAGCCGTTAACCGCTTCCCTCTACCAGATCTCAACCCATAATGGACGAGTAGGCAAAGGAAGAATGCTCGCAGTGCGAGCCCCGAGACTGCCGCTTCTATTCCGGTCTTTACCAATCTGACCCGTTAACACAGGAAGAGGACGACTAGATACGACGGCTCTTCACTCGTGGCAAAAAGCCGTGTCCCAACGATATTTCCCACGCAGTATACAACAAATAACATGGAGTAAACACCAGTCGGGAATAGAGAAGGCTATCAGCCGTCTGTCCAAGCCAACGTCGACTCTGATAAGTGCACAGGTGCCGGGACTGCAGAGGGAGGAAGCGATTTCTCTCGCCACTGTTGAAAGCCGGAGGATTATTGGTTTAGGAGACATTCCTTAGTTAGCAGGCTTGGTGATTTAGCGTGATGACAACAGAACAGGGACAGATTGGAAGGCAGTGCGGAACCAAATGAAGAAAGGGGAAGACGATTGATAGGGATAGTCACCTGAAGATAGGAAAACCTGGGATAAGTCTAGCAAGATTAGATAGATTCGGCCGGGGAGAAACTAGCTCGGCAGATCAGCCAATTCGAATATCTTCCCTTACCATTGTGTGGGTTCCGGATAATGGAACAGGTCAGTAGCATACGGAATGAACCCCGAGTGTTACCCCAATATTGAATGCGGACAGAAGCAAGGTACCACGGCTCGCCTGTGGATTCAATCTGCCGAGCATATCGAAGAGATCGACAGTCACTTGCGACGGCAACTAGACTCCAGTCATTGCTCCAAGGCTTACCCCGCATTGATAAGCCGACGTGCATAGTCGAATTCCTGGTCATTGCCGAGAGACAACAGCTATTTGATCTGCATGGCTTCGTGGTGGAGTGACCGCGGTCTTTCCCGGTATAATAAGGGCGGACGTCCTGTAATTGACACACCAGTATACGCTTCCTACTGACAATCAAGGACGGCATCATGGCAACCCTCGCGCCCACTATTGACGAGATCAAAACGTCCATCGACGCAGTCCTGGACGATCTCCAGAGCTCCTTGCGAGAGCTCAACCGAGAGGTATATTCCTGTCACTACTTGACCTGCGCCGTTAACTGACCGATTTCATCCAGATATGGTCAAACCCCGAAACAGCGTACCAAGAGCACAAAGCCCACGAGACCATCTGCGCCTTTCTCGAAGCCCAAGGCTGCACCGTCACCCGCCACGCCTACGGGCTCGACACCTCCTTCGAAGCCACCTGTGGCTCCGGCGGCCGGCTGATCAACTTCAACGCGGAGTACGATGCTCTCCCTGGAATCGGGCATGCCTGCGGCCACAACCTCATTACCACGAGCAGCGTGGCGGCATTCTTAGCCCTATCAGCCCTGCTGAAGAAGTACGACATTCCTGGAAGGACGCAGTTGCTCGGGACACCAGCCGAGGAGAACGGGGGCGGGAAGACAAAGTTGATTGAGAACGGGGCGTACAAGGGGGTCGATATCTCGCTGATGGCGTATGTCTCCTCCCTTCCATGGTGACAATAACTGACAAACTAGTCACGCTGGACCCAAGAAGCTCTTTCCCGGGGTTGACTCGGACGGTATCGCCGGTGTACTCATGAACGCTCGCAAGGAGATCCACTGCGAGTTTACTGGCAAGTCTGCACATGCTGGGGGTAACCCGTGGGACGGGATCAATGCGCTGGATGCCCTGGTCAGTGCGTACAACAACGTCTCTGTGCTAAGGCAGCAGATGCAGCCGGATGAGAGGGTGCATGTCGCGTTTACGGAGACGCCTACTGTGGCCAATGTCATTCCGGAGCGGACCAAGGCGTACTGGCAGGTGCGCAGTCCGACACTGAAGGGGTTGGATCGGTTGATTGGGAGAGTCAGGAATTGTATCGAGGCAGGCGCGTTGTCATCGGGTTGTCGGGTCGATATTGTCGAGTATGTCTTCTAGTGTTGTTGACAGGTGCTAAAGTGCTGATTATGCAGGGATCAACTGTATACTGATATCAAGATCAATGACGCCCTCTGCGGACGATACCAGACTCACATGGCTCGCTATGGACGGAAGATTACCAAGAGCCACGACAAGGTCTTGACAGGCTCATCAGATATCGGTACGTTTTGTCCTCCAGCAAAGACTGCAGCTGACTCTATAGGAAACGTGAGCTATCTCGTTCCAACACTGCATGCCATGTTCGCGATCGCGGACCAGGAAGGCTTATTTCTTCACCATTCTTCATTTGCCACTGTAGCCGGGACGGATACTGCGCACGAGGAGGCAGTCATTGTGGGCAAGTCTCTCGCAATGATTGGATGGGAGATGTTGACAGAGGAGGGACTGTTTCAGACGGCAAAGAAGCAATGGGAGATGGCGATTTTGGAGTGATCTCTCGATGTGATGCTATCCGGGTTTCTTAATGGATGTAAAGACTCAGAGAATAGAGATAACCATCGAGGCATAAACTATTCTATTCACATACAGAATTTATTAAAATATGTTAATACTCATGGTTGTATATATAAAGTCTCCTGGGTATTCCCTCACCAGCATGTTCATATACCCCTAGCAACTCAGAACAGCATTTTAGCACGCAAACAGGAATCTTTTCTCACACTGATTTCATTAGATACCAGTACCTCTACTTATATTCGAACATGTGCCGCTTATCGACTTCTCTTCGATGTCAGCATATCCTCTCTCCTCACGCAATCAATCGCGCCATTGGCATCATTAGTAGAGTATGAAGATGATTCTTCATTGGATAGTATATATGAACGCATTGTATTGCTGTACTTGCCACAAATGAGTCTAGTTCCTGTATAACCCTATTTGAGACTTTTGTGCTACCTAACGATCCGCCGATTATGCAGACGAATAGAGAATGCAAGAACATCTAAGCAAAAACAACCGTCTTATGCCCATTAAGTAAAACCCTCCGTTCGGTCACATACTTGACCGCCGTCGCCAGCACATTACTCTCGACATTGCTGCCCGCATGGGTCAACTCCTTGGGGCTCAGCGCATGGTTCACCCGCACCACATTCTGCTCGATGATCGGCCCCTCGTCAAGATCGCTCGTCACAAAGTGCGCCGTGGCACCAATGATCTTGACACCCCGGTCATATGCCTGGTGGTAGGGCTTCGCGCCCTTGAAACTCGGCAGGAAGCTGTGGTGGATGTTGATGATGCGGCCGGACATGGCCTCGCACAGCATCGGCGACAGCACCTGCATGTACCGCGCCAGCACGATCAGGTCGATCTGGTGTTCGCGCACCAGCTCCAGGATGCGCGTCTCCTGCTGCTGCTTTGTGTCCGGCGTGACAGGCAGGTGCACGAACGGCACGTTGTAGGTTGCGGCGAGGGTCGCGAAGTCTGGGTGGTTGGAGACGATCAGGGGCACCTCGATGGCGAGCTGGCCGGTGGATTGCCGGAAGAGGAGGTCGTTGAGGCAGTGGCCGATCTTGGAGACCATGATCAGCACGCGGGGCTTCTGCGCGGCGGGGTGGATCGCAAAGTCCATGGACAGGGACTTGGCGGTTGGTTCGAAGGCGGCGCGCAGCTCCTCAACGGTCAGCTTGGGGTGCTCGTCTGTGGCCTCGGTAGCGGAGGCGGAGGCAGCGAAGTGCATGCGCATAAAGAAGCGCTTCGAGGTGGGATCGCCGAATTGCGATGAGTCAACGATGTTGAGGTTGCGCGCGACCAGGAAGGCGGTCACGGCGTGGACGATGCCGGGGCGGTCCGGGCAGGAGATGGTGAGGATGAAGCTGTCCATGATGTTGAATCGAGGGGGAGTGTTGAATTGAGTCGAACGCAAAGACAATCGACGGTAGATGACAGCAAGAAGATGGGCTGATCCGGTTCGATGTGGGAATTTAGCAACAAAAAGGGAAGAAAACCCCGCGCCGTTTTCGGCGCTGACTAAGGTGGGGCTGATCGATAAGATTAGGGTTGGGTTGGCTATCATTTCCGGATCGAGCACCATCATTTACAATTGTTATCAGCAATGATATAGCTGTTATTGATCATATGCCTATATGTGTAGCTGATGAGGATGTGTGTTGTAGGATATACCGTAGAAAGTGGAATATACGGAGGGTGCAAAAGTCCACCGCCATATCTACTAAGGTCTAAGGAATGTCATGTCAATTGTATATTACGATGCTCAGCCTCGCATACAGCAAGTGTATACTTCGCAGAAAAGGTTGAACACTTCTTTCCTTATTATTTTGAGCTACTTGCCGCCAGATTGTTCCAAGCGCCGCAGAATGAGTAGAAGGGTATATTAAAGATAGTAGCACTCCTTAAGATGTAGAATGTTTATGTGTAAATATCTTGCTCAGTTTTGAAGTGAAGCCCATGCGGCATCTTCATTCTATTCCTGCTTGATCTTTGAGAGAACAGCAGTTTGACAGAGCCTTGTCATTGATATAGAAAATACTCATTGAATTGGTCTATCCTCCGTGTAGGAAGACTTGAACCATCACTCATCTAGTCTAGCTAAACGTGACAAAGATCAGGTTTATCACATGGATAGACATAACTTATTCCATAGGCAAATAACAGGGATCATTCACAAGCGATAAACGGAAATTCCCCAGTTTTAAGGATATTTCCCCATTCCGCAGATTCGGTCGGGTCCTCCGTCTTGTCCAAATTGTCAGATCAAGCGATCTCAACCTAGGCGGTTCCCCGCGTCTTCAGACCAGAATACCGTAAGAAGCCACCTGCAGGGTCGACGGGCTCAAACTCCGAGTCTACAGTGTTCAACAGTGAGGATCCAGCCATACCTAGATTTCTCACCGAAGCCCACCCCGTACCTGGACGACCAGATACGCCAGAGTACCTTTCGGGATTTAGGTTGCAAGAGCCGAGAATTCAGGCGGTAGGACCATGTCAATGCCAGAGGCATCCTTGAAGAATCTCAAATCCGGAGCTTGTGTTTGGCTGCTAGAGTACACTAAGGTTGATTAGAAAGTTACCCCTCTCGTATCGACTATTCCCATCCTGATCACCTGAAACAGGTCGATTGAGCTTCATTTCCGGACATGCTGTTGCCGCTGCGGGGTTACTAAGTACATACTTCCAGGCCGGGTTACTACATCTACTGGAGAAGTAGGGGCTGTTTGACGAGGGTCTTTCTCGTGGTTAGGGTCACTGCGCGAGTTAACTGATGTCTGCTGTATTGAGCAGGAAACAGGCCGATTGAGGGAAAAACTGAGTGTGGAAGGACAATATTTACTCCGTAGTCAGGAGACTAACTGCACAAGCAATATAGAGGATAGCCATGTTCTACTCTGCGACGTTGGCGCTTAGGGTACTAGCAGTAACTTAGCGGGGACGGACTGCGGAGTAAGTGGATGAAGGATCAGGAGAAATGGCAGGTCAGATGAGTCCGGGCTCAATCTAACTAACTGAACGCTAAGGCAGGTTGAATTAAACTTGTTGCTGGCCACTCGCGAGGACCGAGATCCTTCTGGATTGGTAGATGAAACAATGTATAGTGCGGATATTATCGGACACTGGACAGCGGCGACTGGGCATGACACTTTTATCAAATGCGAGGTCTATACCTATTGTCAGATGACGGATATAGATTAATAGAAAGGGAATATGGCAGATTGGAAACATGTGGTATGCGCATGTGTAAGGGCCGTAAAGTGACCGGAGCACCCGATTGGGAAACAGAAGGGCTATTCAGCGTTCTTGATTTGGGCAGAAATCATTCGGATGACAGGAGGAAAATACTTAGCGACTTCCAAGTTCGCGAAGAATTAATATCTGACCACGATATGATTGCAGGATCTGTGGCGTAGTGCAGTTACTTAATTAAAAAAGGGATCAGCCGCCCAAATGCCGAGGAACAACGAGGATGGCCTGCAGTCAGCGTCACATCAAGCGATACTGCATTGGAACCGCCCGCCGCTTTTCAAGGAGCTTAGAGCACTAGTCCGGAATTACTCCTGATCGTCTGGACACGTCAATTGATAGTCAGGACACGCACTAAATTCCCCGGTATCTACTTTGTCACCTCACCTGTTTATAATGTACCCATACTACAGACTCGATTCTCTCTATGGATCCCCTCCATCAAGCTAATAATGGCATCAACGAATTGAGCGACTGGTCTACATCATAGAACGATGCTAATAGAAAGGCTAACACTCATGGCTGTACAAGACGCCGTCTTGGCCGGCTTCCATGACTGACCTTCGCATACCTACCTTTCCCCTGACTTGAAACAGGGCATCTCGCTATATGTCTAATCATGATATCTCGTTTCCAATTTTCAGAGAGGTAAATCCATGCTCAGACCAGAATCGTAAGACCGAATCGAATAGGATTAACCGCAGAGAGTTGGAAGATAGTAGGGAAAGGCATAATCAAATGTGCTTGGTTGCAGATCGTCTCAACAAATGATGTAACCTTCATGTTTTCTCAACTATGGATTATGTTCGTGAACAGTATCCAGTGCCTAGGTCTAATGCATGCTGCGGGCCGCGTTTGGGAGAAGCTGTTGATACTGATCTTCGCTTAGAGCTATACACTCCTGCACGAGTAGCGCACTATATCATACATATGTACAATGCTAAAACCCTGCAACAGTTCCAGGATAAACAGACCCTTGAAGAGCAAGGCTGCAAGATCCTAGCTAGAGAGAAACAGCGCCTGGAGTTGTCGGAACAGCCGGAAAGTAGGCCCTTTACAAATTATTGCCGAATCGGACAGACTAGCCGCTGCACTGTCGTTCGATTAGTTTGACGACAAGTTGGTTGTTCCATGAAATCCCCACACCTAATGCGAGCATTACTTGAACATGATGTATTGCCTGCGAGAGGAGACCGTGGTACCGAAGGAAGGGGTACACATCAAAACAGAGCGTGACTCCTTCATAGCATACATGTATAGGGCGGTTTGGGAGTTGATTGCACTAAAGGCTTCCTATCAGATACCGGTATTGGCTAGATTCGCTGGCGGTTTAGTTGTATAAAGTTTTGTTAATTATTAAATGGTGAAGACAGGGAAGGCCAGAGAATTACCGATATGCAACTATGAATACAGGTCACTGGTAAACCCGTCTGGCTTGGCTACACGGTTTATTAAACTGATTACTAGAGGAGAAATGGATTGATCTAGTGATTGATGGAGGCTTTGGCTGCTTTAGGTCAGGACACGCACCGAGCACGCATGGCCACAATCAGGTAGTTGATGCTTGTCCACAAAGCGGCGGCCTAACGGGCCGAATCTGGACAGAGAACCCCTAAGGTTCTGCAGAAATGTAATACGACGTAGTAAGGAGTAAAGGGTACAGCTAGTGTTGTCTACTAAGGTGGTGCATAACCGCTGGCTGACGGCTATTTAGCCGATTCCTGATCGGTCAAGGCACTGCGCCGACTAGCTCCTAGTCGAGGTACCGGAGGCTAAAGGCATCAATCACATCTCATCTCCGCTGCACTAGTTGACTGAAGTCTGTAATTTCTTCACGTCTTCACGCGGGGAAATCAACTCTACCCCATGGGGACATACAACGGCATACGGTCCGCAAAGCCGTCGTCGACGATGTTGAGCAGAATGCGACAGCAATACGGGCTTGGTCCTTAGCAGAAGAGCACGGTGGATCTCCTCAACTCTCTCACACTCATAAGATATAAAAGCAGATCTATCTCTCTTGACAGGAGTCTTCATTCTCCTTCTCATCACTCCCTAACCAGTCAACCCAGTCAATCCTTTGACAATCATCACCATGCTTGCCTCCACCTTCTCCTACCGCATGTACAAGACCGCACTCATCCTGGCCGCCCTTCTGGGCTCTGGTCAGGCTCAGCAGGTCGGTACTTCCCAGGCGGAAGTGCATCCGTCCATGACCTGGCAGAGCTGCACTGCTGGCGGCAGCTGCACCACCAACAACGGCAAGGTGGTCATCGATGCCAACTGGCGTTGGGTGCACAAAGTCGGCGACTACACCAACTGCTACACCGGCAACACCTGGGACAAGACCATCTGCCCTGACGATGCGACGTGCGCATCCAACTGCGCCCTCGAGGGTGCCAGCTACCAGTCCACTTATGGTGTGACTGCCAGCGGCAACTCCCTCCGCCTCAACTTCGTCACCACCAGCCAGCAGAAGAACATTGGCTCGCGTCTGTACATGATGAAGGACGACTCCACCTACGAGATGTTTAAGCTGCTGAACCAGGAGTTCACCTTTGATGTCGACGTCTCCAACCTCCCCTGCGGTCTCAACGGCGCTCTGTACTTTGTCGCCATGGACGCCGACGGTGGCATGTCCAAGTACCCAACCAACAAGGCCGGTGCCAAGTACGGTACTGGTTACTGTGACTCTCAGTGCCCTCGCGACCTCAAGTTCATCAACGGTCAGGCCAACGTTGATGGATGGCAACCCTCCTCCAATGATGCCAATGCGGGTACTGGCAACCACGGCTCCTGCTGCGCGGAGATGGATATCTGGGAGGCCAACAGCATCTCCACGGCCTTCACTCCTCACCCATGCGACACCCCCGGCCAGGTGATGTGCAGCGGCGACGCCTGCGGTGGCACCTACAGCTCCGACCGCTACGGCGGCACCTGCGACCCCGACGGATGTGATTTCAACTCCTTCCGCCAGGGCAACAAGACCTTCTACGGTCCTGGCATGACCGTCGACACCAAGAGCAAGTTCACCGTCGTCACCCAGTTCATCACCAACGACGGCACCGCCAGCGGCACCCTCAAGGAGATCAAGCGCTTCTACGTGCAGAACGGCAAGGTGATCCCCAACTCCGAGTCGACCTGGTCCGGCGTCGGCGGCAACTCCATCACCAACGACTACTGCACCGCCCAGAAGAGCCTGTTCAAGGACCAAAACGTCTTCGCCAAGCACGGCGGCTTGGAGGGCATGGGCGCTGCGCTCGCCCAGGGCATGGTCCTCGTCATGTCTCTGTGGGATGACCACTCGGCCAACATGCTCTGGCTCGACAGCAACTACCCGACCACTGGCGCATCCACCACCCCCGGTGTCGCCCGTGGTACCTGCGACATCTCCTCTGGCGCCCCCTCCGATGTCGAGGCCAACCACCCCGACGCCTCCGTCGTCTACTCCAACATCAAGGTCGGCCCCATCGGCTCTACCTTCAACAGCGGTGGCTCGAACCCCGGCGGCGGAACCACCACCACCGCGAAGCCGACTACGACCACTACCACTGCTGGTAGCCCTGGTGGCACCGGTGTGGCTCAGCACTATGGCCAGTGTGGCGGCAATGGATGGCAGGGCCCTACTACCTGCGCCAGCCCCTATACTTGCCAGAAGGTGAACGACTGGTACTCTCAGTGCCTGTAGATAGTGAGCCTCCTGCTGCCAAGATAGCCGGGAGCTGGATTGACGTTGACGGCTTGAAGGAAAATGTTTTACTATTATGTCGTTGCTAGTTTGAATTGAATTCAATGCAATTATTCTACCTCCATTGGTTCTTCTTTGTATTCCCTTTCATAGGCAGAGACCGTATACGGCATAAGCTGGTCCGACGCTTAAACGCACAGTCTGCATCAATCTATATTCCATCCAGCTGATTGGCCAAAACCTGAAGAACCTAATGCAAGGCTTGGCCCTGGCTAGTCTAACCTGCTTGATTTAGCCTGTGAGGAGTCATCTGCTGCGCGGCCTCCTGGTTATCCCCTGCGCCTGCATATCCTTTTCTCCGGGGTCACTTGCCGGTTTCTGGGGTGCAGGGTGTCAGCGTGACATTGGCATGCAGGGGTTCCTTAAGAGTCAAGTACATTAGGTCATGGAAAGTGTTCAAGCGAGATACTACACTAGGTGGGAATTCAGGCAAATCAAGCTAATTTCCGCAAGCCATAGAATTCATGGTCAGCCACCCCCGCAGATTCATTTGCGTCGTATTGTATACGCGAATATTAGCCTAATAATAATACCGGAATTGGGGATTTGCATGTGCAGGGCAGGTAATCGACTAATGTAATTTACTTTCTTAATCTGCTCATTAATATCCCAGGAATATTAGCTTCTCACACTGAATTGATCACTACGGTTCCTGGCCTCCCTGACTGGTCGTTGAGCTAGCCTAGGGACCCGGGATAGACCGGATCATCCTCAGTCAGTCACCTCAACAACTGACTACTTGCAGAGTACTCGGGGTAGGGCAGTATTCTGTTCCGTCACTTGAGACGGTGGCTGTACTGTCTCCTGCAGAATAGGCCGTCACCGATTTGGCCGTCGCCACCTGCAGGGTAGACGCCATGCAATCTATTCCCGGAGATTACACCCTCAAGTACCGTGACGAATCGGTTAGACAGTCCTTAGAGGCTCCGTTCCGGTTTGGGATGGGATTTCCTTGCAGACATGTAGACCTGCAGAAAGTGTCGGGGTGCGGTCCGAACGGCCGTCGTGATGTGTCCTTGTTTGGCAGCGATGAGTATATATACCTTCATTGTGAACTGTGCTTGCCTTTGTGCATATCTTGCAAGTAAGGATACACGTACAAGATGAAGGCTTCGACTATTATCTGCGCGCTTCTCCCCGTTGCATTGGCGGCGCCGAATGCGAAGCGGGCTTCTGGGTTTGTTTGTATGTCTCTCTCCTTCCTCTTTTGCTGTGTGAAGCTCTCTTGCTGCGTGAAGCTGACGGTGAGATAGGGCTCGGAAGTAACGAGTCTGGTGCTGAGTTTGGAGAAACCAAGCTCCCTGGCGTGCTGGGGACGGATTATATCTGGCCCAGTGCGTCGACGATCAAGACTCTGCACGATGCCGGGATGAATATCTTCCGAGTTGCCTTTCGCATGGAGAGGCTGATCCCGAATCAGATGACTGGGACTCCTGACGCGACGTATCTGAATGACCTCAAGGCGGTTCGTCTCCCGGTCCGGGTGTTGAGGCGTCGCTGACGAGGATAGACTGTCAATGCGATTACGAGTCTGGGGGCGTATGCGGTGATTGATCCCCATAACTATGGGAGATAGTGAGTTTCGTTCTTCTGTGTTAATAGAGCGAGCTGACCAGACAGCTACGGTAATATCATCTCGTCGACTGACGACTTTGCTGCGTGGTGGAAGACCGTGGCTGCCCAGTTTGCGTCCAATGACCATGTTATTTTTGATACCAGTATGTTTCCATCAGTTTCGAAATGAAGGACAAGCTGACGGGATAGACAATGAGTACCATGACATGGACCAGACGCTCGTTCTCAACCTCAACCAGGCTGCTATCAACGCCATCCGTGCTGCCGGCGCCACGTCGCAGTACATTTTCGTCGAGGGCAACTCGTGGTCCGGCGCGTGGACCTGGACCACCGTCAACGACAACCTCAAGGCTCTCACCGACCCCCAGGACAAGATCGTCTACGAGATGCACCAGTATCTGGACTCCGACGGGTCCGGCACCTCGGCCACCTGCGTGAGCTCCACCATCGGCCAGGAGCGCGTGCAGGCCGCCACACAGTGGTTGAAGACCAATGGTAAGAAAGGTATCATAGGCGAATTCGCTGGAGGCGCCAACAGCGTGTGCCAGTCCGCTGTCACGGGCATGCTTGACTATCTGTCTGCCAACTCGGATGTGTGGATGGGCGCTGCATGGTGGGCCGCTGGTCCCTGGTGGGCAGATTACATGTTCAGCATGGAGCCGCCGTCCGGCACTGGCTATCAGAACTATCTCTCGTTGTTGAAGCCGTACTTTGCCGGTGGTTCGGGTGGCCCTCCTCCAACTACGACCACGACGACGACTACCACCAAGCCGACTACGACCACTACCACGGCTGGGAACCCTGGCGGCACCGGAGTCGCACAGCACTGGGGCCAGTGTGGTGGAAATGGATGGCAGGGCCCTACTACCTGTGCCAGCCCCTATACTTGCCAGAAGGTGAACGACTGGTACTCTCAGTGTCTGTAGGCAATATAGCACATAGCATCTGTCACTTAAAATTGAACTGCCATTGAAATTCTATATGCTTCAAGCAACCAACTCCTCCACACTCTTCATCTCCCTCCCATTATTCTCCCCCACATCCAACGCAACCAACACCCGGCTCACACAGTTATAAGCCGCCACTCCCGTTGTCAACTCGACAATCTCCCTCTCATTCAGCCCAGCCCTCCGTAAGTCCTCAAACGTCTCCTCCTCAACCCTCACCCGCAGCGTCATCTCATCCGTATACCGCACCACCGCCCTCTGCACCTCACTCAGCACACTCCGCCCCAGCGCTTCTTTGCCAGCGTCGGTAATCGTCGCCTCGACCTCGCGCACCGCCCGCAGCTCGTCGGCCGTCACCCCGTCCTTCAGCGCAAGCGGCGCGTGCGCGTTCCACTCGTACACGGCGCCGTTGAGGACCGCCACGCGGCAGACGGAGAGTTCGAGGAGCGCGCCGGGGAGAATTGTGCGCGTGCGGATGGCGCCGAGGAAGCTGTTCCAGCCGTCGGCGACTGGGGGGGAGTGCAGCAGGGAGAGATCGAGGGGGATGAGTGGGCGGGGGTGTCTGCGGGCGGCGATGCGGGCGTAGATTTCGGTGGTGGAGGGGTCCGCGTCGGGGGGTGGACTGGACGGCGCGTATGGGAGGCGCATGGTGCAGTGTGATCTTTTTGACTATGTTGGAATGTGTATCTGAGTTGAATTGTGTTGTTGAGTTGAATATATCTGGGGTACAATGATGCGGTGGAATTGAGTTTAGCCGCGGGTATTGTTTCTTCCTAGATCTGCACTGCCGTCATGGAATGCCGTTCCCCGCATGATGAAGTATGGAGAGAAATATCATCTCAATGTAGTCCAAATTTATAGATTATAGTACTTTTGTGATCAATTGAGCTTGACTCTGTCAAACATGAAGCATCACTTGGTGATAGGCACGTGGACCCCTCCTGGTCGGCTGTACACCGTCGCATTCGACGACGAGGCCTTGACCTTGGAATTGGCCAAGAAGACAGAGATTCCAGAGGACGAGCCGATCTCATGGTTGACTATTTCGGTATGTATCGAAGCTGTCGAATTGGCGTTGACTAATGTTATCCAGCATGACAAGAAAACTCTCTACGGAGCTGCCATGAAAAAATGGAACAGCTTCGCCATCAACAGCCCAACAGACATTGTACATCAAGTCTCCCATCCTCTTGCTGGTCACCGTACGCACTGATCCATCTTTGCGCTGTCTGCGCTGCTGCTGATCTGATCTGCAGCTCTGGCCTCCAGTAGCGAAAGCAACACCCGCGCCATCTTCGTCCTGGCCGCACACAAACCCCCTTACAACGTCTACGGCGCGCCCTTTTACAACTACGCGGGCTATGGCAACGTCTTCTCCGTCGACCCGTCCGACGGCCGTCTGGTCAAGAATGTCCAGAACTACGAGTATCAGGAGAACACAGGCATCCACGGCATGGTCTTTGACCCGACAGAAACTTACCTCTACTCGGCCGATCTGCAGGCCAACAAGATCTGGACCCATCGCAAGGACGCTCAGACCGGCGAGCTGACCCTCGTCGACTGTCTCGAGGCCCCGTCGCCAGATGACCACCCTCGTTGGGTTGATATCCACCCCAGTGGCAAGTATCTGTACGCACTGATGGAGGCGGGTAACCGGCTGGCGGTGTACGTGATTGACGAGAAGCGCAATGTCCCTGTCTTTACGCACATCACCTACCCATTACTCCCCGCGGGTAAGAGTCTATGTCCATACTATCGGTCCGTCGATACTAATGTTGGACAGGCGTCCCTCCCACGAACAAATACCGCGGTGACGTCTGCTTCACCACGCACAGCGGCGAGTACCTGTTTGCGACTACACGCGGAACCTACGGCCGCCCCTGGACCGGGTATATCACGGCCTTCAAGCTGGGTCCTAATGGTAACGTTGAACGACAGCTGTTCATCCACCCCACCTCCAACAGCGGTGGTCACTCCAATGCAGTCAGCCCCTGTGACTTTAGCGATGAGTGGTTGGCGCTGTGCGACGACCAGGACGGGTTTGTGGAGATATATCGCTTCAAGGATGAGACGCTGGCCCGGGTGGCTAGGTTGGATATTCCGGAAAAGGGATTCGGAATGAATGCCGTTTGGTATGATTAATGTGATGTAGAATTCAATAGAGGAACATTCATATAGTAAATACCTAATGTGCTGTGTCTCTTCAACAATGTAATGGTGATGATGCGAGTCACGTGAACGGGTCATTTATCTGTTCTTCCTCGTCAGGAGAACCCAATCTTCATCTACTCAATGCTACTCATGATCTCATCCGTCGCAGACTGTGATAATGAAAATTCACTCATCTTCATTTTCTTATAATGAATGAAGACAGTATTTGATAAGATGGCATGAGATGACTAACATCAGCGGCATTGCCAGACATCGGGTCTCCGGTCGGCAGTCGAGATCGGCCTCGAGTGCGTTCCGAGGGGTCTGGGGTAGACTGCGCCTGTGTTGTGAGTCTCATTCCTGCCAAATAAAACATTCTTAATCTTGTTCACTTGTCTTTCTCTATTGCTCATCATACTCTATACTCACTGGTTGTTGATTATTCTACAGAACACATCATGGCGACCCCCGGCATGCTCTACGTCACAATGCAACCCCGCCCGTCTCTGCCCGCGGCCCAGTTCCACGACTGGTACAACACAGAACACGGTCCGCTGCGTCTACGCTTGCCCTTTGTCACCAATGGCTTCCGATACAGAGCCGCGGATGGCCTCGAGCCGGAATGGGTTGCTCTGTACGATATCACCGACATGGTTGAGCTGACCCGCGAGACGTACCTGGCTCTGCGAGGCGACGGCATCAAGACCCCGCGCGAGAAAGCCACCATGGCTCAAATTGCGGTCGATCGCCGACTCTACGACCTGTTGGACGATCAAAAAGCCCCCGACTACCGTCCTCTCGAGGACGAAACCGACGCCGCCTCCGCGGGCTCCGTACTCATTGCCGTGTCCGTTGTCGTGCCCGCGGATAAAGAAGACGAGCTTAACCGGTGGTACCGCGAGGAGCACTTTGGGATGCTCTCTCGCGTGCCTGGCTGGCGTCGCTCGCGCCGCTTCGTGACAGCAGCCATCGACCCCAACGCCCCTCGGGAGTTCCTTTCGTTGTACGAGTACGCAGCAAAGAACGGACTCGAGGGCCCCGAGCACAGTGCTGCAAAGAACACCCCCTGGGGCAAGCGGATCAGCGAACTTGCCATCAGCAAGAAACGCCGGGTCTACGAGTGGGCCTACACATTTGGACCGGCCCCGCGCGAGCTCGCCTCCCTTGCGTCCGAGGACGTCGTCGGGCCCTGGCACTCCAATGACCACCGTACCCGGACGTATCCCTCGCCAACTCGCCCTGCAGTGGAGTCTTATGTGACCAACAAAGACGGCGTCTCACTCCCGTACCGACTCGAGGGCAGCACAGATCCCACCGCCCCGGTCATTGTCCTGAGCAACTCCATCCTGGTCGACTGGAGCATCTGGGACGGTTTTGTCGACGCCTTCCTGTCCAATGCGAAAAACCAAAACTACCGGATCCTACGCTACCTGACACGCGGCCGCCTCCGCGACTGCGGCGAGACACCCATCACCATCGACGTCCTGGCCTCGGACATCATCGCTCTACTAGACGCGCTCCGCATCCCGCAGGCCACACTCATCGGGGTCAGCCTGGGCGGCGTAACCGTGCTGAACACGGCGCTGCTGTACCCGTCGCGCGTGACGCGGTTCATCGCCTGCGACACCAACAGCTCCGCGCCGGAATCGAACCGCAAGGCGTGGACGGACCGGCACGCGATGGCCGCCAGCGAAGGGGCCGTGTCGGCTGACACCCAGGAGCCCATTATTGGCGACAAGCTGGCGGAGGCGACCACGCGGCGGTGGTTCGTGCCCGAGACGTACGAGACACAGCCGGAGGTGGCAGCGCGGGTTAAAGAGGTGGTGCGCACCAACAGCCTGGAGGGATTCCACAAGGGCATGCAGGCGTTGTGTGCGTACGACGTGCGGGAGCGGATGGCGAGTGCGCGCGTGCCGGGTCTGTTTGTAGCGGGGGCGGGCGACGGCGTGCTGCCGCAGACGATGCAGAAGATGGCGGCTGATCTCAACGGGGGCGCCGAGCTGAAGATCATCCCCCAGGCGGGCCATCTGCCGATGGTGGAGCAGCCGCAGGCTTTTACAGAGGTGGTCAATAGTTTCTTGCATCAGTAGCTTGGTGCTTGCATATTATGGCTATAGCATCTGAAGGCTGGAATTAAATTTAATGACAAAAATGAACTTCATCATACCATTACTATACATGTTCTCTCACGCTGGCCGACTTGGCCTCGGAGGTCTGCGTCACCTCGAACGTGCGATGGATGCCCAGTCCCATGTCTCCGCCGTCTGCCGCCGGCCGCTCGGAATTCAACCGCTCCTCACTGCTGTTCTCGCTAGATCCTCTCCACGGGCTATCCGGCGCATGCACGGTCGTCACGGTCGTGGCCAGTTTATCCGGGCGGAATCGACCCCCGGCATCCGTATCTAACGATCCCAAGGGCACAGGACGATCACGACTAGGCCCGAGACGGCGCGAGGACGACTGGCCGGGCATCGGCGACATGTAATCGTCGGTGGTGCTGGTGCCGCGTATCATGCGAAGCAGGGGCCGCAGGGTCGCTAGACTTCCGGCGGAAATACCCAGGCCGACTTCGATGTTGGACCAGAGCGCGATGTCGACGGTGGCGTCTACACAATCACCGTTAGCAGTGCCGTAGATCAGGGATGAGAGCGGACTTACAGAGGAAGTCTGGATCCGCAAAAGTGCCCACCCAGGGGATACGGATGATGACGGCGGAGGAGGCACTACATTAGTCAGTTTGCTGTCGCATGAGGGGCGGGGCAACTGGGGGGAGGAGACATACATGCAAGCCATGCTCAAAATCCCAATAACCGCAATCTTGGTCTGCCGGCGCATATGCAGCTTGCGCACCATGAAGATGGGCAGAATACCGACGGTAAAATCACACAATGCCGCAAACGCGCTGTAGACGTAGGTCATGGCGATGACGATATGGATGTTGATGCAGGAGCCCGGGATGGAGGGGTCGAGCGCGGTGCGGGTCCAGAAGTACTCGATGGGCCTGCACTGCAGCAGCATGATGAGCATAAAGGCCGACCCGGCGATGGCTGTGAGTGCGATGACGCTGTAGAGGATCCAGATGTGGAGGCGTTTGACGGTGATGCGGCGCAGGAAGATGCAGACGGAGACTTTGCAGCCGACGGAGGCCCAGCAGTAGGCGATTTCGCAGAGCCACCAGTACTTGTCCTCGAATTAGTTGTGTCCATAGGATATGAGGGAGGGAAGGGGATATACCTCCATGGCTGTGACTCGCTGATGGGCCGTGAGATTAGCGAATCTCCTGCCGGTGCCGTAGAGGGCTCCCCCGATCATACATCCGGAAAACATGATGTACCATAGCTATGCCAGGTCAGTCTTTGAAAGATAGTCAGAGGATCGAAGGATGGAATACCATGGCAATGACCATGGCGCCATCATCCCAGCCAAACGCCTTGACGACAAATAATCGAACATAGCACCGCAGGATCACGGTTACCGAGGCTATGGCCATGAAGACGGCCGCAACGACCTTGACCTCGAGGCTGCGGTCATCTTTGCTCGTAGTGCTCATGCTGGCTTGAGCATGTTGATATTATTGCAAATTGAGATGAGATGAGACAAGTGGAGGGGGGGGGAATCCATCCATTCATATACACTGAGACAAGGGCCACTCCAACTTGAGTCCCACCAGCACCAGAACCGAGGAAAACAGAATAGGAGAGCAATTCTCCTATTCTGGAACTTTGAACCTTGATCGGGGCATTCTAGCGTCCCAGAAAGTTTTAGTAACTTCACGGTTGGTACTTGGCAGTTAGCAGCGTTTTAATTTTCTCCCCCCGTAGTCCGTTTTTGTTAGTCTGCTCCGTGCAGAGTCAGAAGTAAGCCTAGTGATGTGCATTGCCACTTGCCGTTTCCAATTGCTTTGCGCAGTCCGAGTCTAACCAGTAGACTACTGACTAGCTCTGTGGAGCATGGAGATAGCCTATAAAAGAGGTTGATATGTCGGTAGAGGTTTCCGTTTGAAGCGTGGCCAAGGGCTATCTGTCAAGGTCTGAGCGGTACATTTTTTCCTTGGCTTCTAGAAGCGACAGGGATAATCAAATTAAGACTAGATTATGCACGTCTTTTGATGGATCTGCCGAGATGAGGAGATATACGCATGATGGCAATGGCATATGGCAACGGCACAATGGTATTATGCATTTGCCGTCCACGTCAAAGACAGAGTGCACTGACTGTTTAGTGTTGCTGTGGCTGTTTCAGCGACCAGACCCATTAATTGGTAAAGAGACTAAGATGCTCTCAATTCTCGGCGACTTGCAGAAGATCATCTCTATTATTAATCCGCACCAATTGCAAAGGTGCAATGTTCTTATCCCGAGATTCATCCTCATTGTGGGAAATGCATCCCCTCCCCTTGGCGAAGACGGGGCTCACCCTAAGTTCCTAACACCAACGCTAAACACAACTAAATGCTCCACTGCGTCTCAACATTTTCTCCTGTTGGAGTCGAGACTGAGTCATGGACTTTAATTATTATTATCATTGCAAGGGGAGTTGCCCAGTCTCTGCAAAAGTGCATATCCCCGTAATGTGGATGTTGACTAGAGTGATCCTGCAGAAGCCATGTTATTCCACACCTCAAGCCATGCTTATAATAAGCATGCAGAGCATATCGATCCTTTATTTCATCGTGATCATTCTTATCGTCTTATTATCAGCTTGTTCCTCGTTATCTTCATTATCGTTGCTTCCTGTCGTGTTTTTCTAGCGGAACAGCCACTTGCTGATCATCATTACCGTGACAGTTGGGCTGCAAATCTCGTCCATCAATAACTGGCTAGCGATCCCAGTAGCTTTGTAATAAACTCTCAAGTCGCCGACCTGCAGACTATCGCCGGTATGATTCGGATTTTTCTTTTCTGTTGATATCCTGGGGATAAAGTCAATTCAGGGGCAGATCCGTCCTGCCCTAGGTGGAGTCGAATTCGTACCCATGTGGCTCGGACTCTTCAGCTATCACTCTATTACATATATATACTTGGTAAGATCGAGTCTATTTACACATCGAAATTCTATTCCCACTTGATTCCCGGAACTGGCCTCGTATTCCACTTCGCTGGATCCTTCGAGGCGCTTCGTCTTCCCCGTTTAGGCTGAGATAGCGTGAAACTCCAAGACTCTATTCTTATGATTGATCTGCAATGAACCCTGTCCAGACCATTTGGATCTTCATCTTCTTCATCTTGTCTTCATCCCTGACAGGTCCAATCGCTTCGCTTGAAGTTCGGGTTCTCCTGTCGGTGACATGCAGTTGTATACTGCATACATTGGAAATAGCCTTCTAATGCACTCAGAGAAGACATCGGGACACATGGACAACGAGGTGGTCCCCGATGTCGTGATTCTGGCACAACCATGACGTCGTCGGGCACCTATCTCCATCGACCATGTCGCTGCCATCAGAAGCAATGACAATAACAGCTCAGAATGGGCAGATTAAGCCCGGACCGCTGCTTCTCCCTCGGATACAGACTTTCATCCCCGCATCGACGAGTCTCTCTCTATGCCAATGGTATGACACCCTCGACCTACTGCACTCCCGACAACTGACAACTAACAATATCAGGCAAACCAGCGACCCAGAAGGATCTGTTCGGATACAACAAGGGCCGCTTCCTCGTCAACGAGGGATACGAGCTGGCGAAACGGTACTCGTCCTTTGACATCCGCGAGCTCTGCCGTACGGTCTCCGCGCTGCCTCGCGTGGCCGGCTCGCCCATTACCCGAATCGAGAAGAAGGAGGGCGGATACAACAAGGCGATGATGATGACCGCGGACAACGGGACCAATGTCCTGGCAAAGATCCCGTGCCGGAATATCGTGCCTCGATGGTACGGGACCGCGTCCGAGGTGGCTGTCTTGGACTTTGGTAGGTATCTCATCGAGGTGAACCGGGGATGCTGACCGAGCAGTCAAATCGCACTCGACCACGCCGGTCTCGGATGTCCTCGCCTGGTGCGCGGACGACTCCAACCCCGTGCAGTCGGAATACATCGTCCTGGAGCCGAGCGTCGGCAAGCAGCTCATCAAGGTGTGGGACGACCTGGCCGAACACGACCGCGTGAAGCTGATCCGCAACTTTGCCTCCCTCGAAAGCAAGCTGGCAGCCAATCAGTTCCCTGGCTATGGTGCCTTGTATCTGCAAAACGCCCTGCCCCCAGCGCTGAAACAACCCGGCCGAACCATCGACGTGGATGACACGTACTGCCTGGGCCCGATGTACCATGGCTCCTGGCCCGGGGGATTCGCTGCAAATCCAGACGACTATGCAAAGTACTCAGGGCCATGTACGTTACTCCTCTGTCTGCTGGGCTGTAGTATACTGACTGCGAGAAGGGAGAACCCTCGCCGACCTGGGCCGCGATCTCGCCCACCAAGGCATCTGCCAAGTACGCAACTACAAGACCTCCTACGCTGGCCGGGGCCCGCACTACGGCACGCCCGAGGAACACATTCGCGTTCTGGAAAGAGTCCTCCAGGTGATGCCGATCCTCGCAGAAGCCGTCCCCATCCGGCGCCACACCGAACCAGTCCTCAGCCACCCCGACTTCCACCCAGGCAACATCTTCGTCTCCGCCGACGACCCCACCGTCATCGTAGGCGTCATCGACTGGCAATTCACCTGCATCCTCCCGCGCTTCACCCAGGTCCGCTGGCCGCTGTTCCTCGCCCCGCCGGAGGGCTACCAACCCGGCACGCCCAACCCGGAACTCCCGCCGACCGACAGCGACAACACGCAACAAGCGCAGGACGAGGCGCTACGCGCCAAGTGCTACGAGGCCGCGCTCCTCAAGTCCCACCTGGAATCGTACCTCGCTCTCACCGAACCCGACGTTGCCATCCGCCGCCTCTTCACCTCCTGCCCCTTCACCTACCGCGACGGGATTCTGCCAGTGCGCGACTGTCTGCTCAAGCTCTCGCAGCATTGGGCGCATCTGCAGGTGAGCCAGGGGTGCCCGTACCGGTTCACCGCGGCGGAGGTGGCAGAGCACGAACACCAGATGGCCGAGTACGAGGGCTGGCTGAAGCTGCGGGAGCATACGCACCAGCTTCTCCGGTCCAATGACGGCGGGTGGGTGCCGTCTGGAGTGGACTTTGAGGAGATCCAGGCGAGGCATGATAAATTGTATCGACGGTTTGTGGAGACTAAGATGGAGCGCATGTCTGAGGAGGATGCCAAACGGCAGTGGTTTTTCCGGGATAGGGGGTAGTCATCAATCACCCTTCTCTGAAGCATGGATTCTAGTATCAGTGTCGAAATGCAAGCGATATGGCGAGTGTATTATCAGCACACCACTTTCGCCCGCCGTAAGTAAAAAAGTGTCTAATCAGTGTGTTCCTCCCTGCTACTCCGTATTGTCTGTTAAGTGAGAACAACTCGATCGAATCGCAGCACAGGATACAATCTACTCCACCTTAGCCCACTGCTTGCTCAACTCCCACAGCCTCTCTCCCTTCTCCTGATCAAACGTCCAACTACCATACCCATACTCAGCAGCGTCCCCATCAGGAGGACAAGGATGCACCGCAACCGACGCTCCCTCAAGGTACAACCCACCCCTCCCCTCCAACTCACTAGACACCGCCCCATAAACCGACGTCGCACACGCCTGCCCCATACTAGACAGATACTTGCGCATCTTTTCGTCATTCAAAAACGCCTCCATCTCCGCCTTCGAATGCTTCTGCAAGTTGGGACTAACAAACGCCCCCGGATGCACACTATACCCATGCAGCCCCTGCTCCCCAAACAACCGCTCGATCTGGTTACTCATGTAGATATTCGCCGTCTTGCTAGACCCATACGCTAACCAGCCGTTATAGTTTCCCTCGAAATTGATATTCTCCAGCTGGACGGGCCCGTACCGATGCCCCGCCGAGGAGACGTTCACGACGCGCGAGTGGAACGCCGCGCTGGAACTCTCCAGAAGCAGATCCTTCAAACACCAGAATAGCAAGAAATGCGAGAGATGGTTCGTCCCGAACTGCGTCTCGAAACCGTCCTTCGTGCGTCCCTCGGGCGTATTCATCACCGCTGCGTTGTTGATCATTACATTCAGCTTGGTGCTCTGCTGGCGGAAGGCCTCTGCGCAGGCGCGCACGCTGGATAAATCCGTTTGATCCATGTAGAGTAGATGAACACGCCCGGTATCCAGTAGCGACCCCAATGCCTCTTTGGCTTTCTCGAGGTTGCGGGCCGTCCCGTAGATGGTTGCGCCGGTTAGGGCCAGGACGCGGACGGTTTCGACGCCCAGCCCGGAGGAGACGCCTGTGATTAGGATGACTTTGTCACTCCAGGCGTTGAGGAGGTTTTCGTCGTGGAGGATCTGCTCGCCGGTGATGCGGGAGTCGTCGGGACCGTTTAGGACTTCCCATTTGTTTCTGGGGGCGTAGCGGCCGGAGAGTTGGAAGGGGGTGCGGGAGGTGAGGGTCATTTTGTTTTTTGAGTGTGGTGACGGAACTGGTCGTTTCTGTATCTTGATAGAAATAGAGGATAGAGGTACATTTGTGGTGTCCAGTTATAGATGTGATAGATAGCAACGTGTTGCTTTGTCTTAGGGCAGAGGGGACATCCGAGCTAAGCTACCGTCGTATTCTATAGCTCGTTCTATCCCCTTCGAGACTAGGACAAGAACTGGGCCAGTGAGCTTGATCATCTTTATTTTATTATTAACTCCTAGTAAGAATGACTCCATGCGATTCGTGGAACTATGAATACCCCGTTGACTGAAATTGGTACCTATCTAAGCAAGCCCGTCTAATATTCCAGATAGTGCTGAGCAATCTATCGGTCAGCCTAATATAACATTCTCATGCAAGAACCAAATCATGTCGATATGCAACTGCCCCATAACGCCTTTGAAGCAAAGTTCCACCTCGCAATCTATCAAGAGCCATCAATCCCAAAGTAAGCAGCAGCAGGTAGGATGTCCGCGCTGATCAACGACAGCTCATTCGCGGATGAGCTGATATCTGCCGAGCTCCTAAGATTAACAATGGCCTTTTGCGTCTGCGCGCTGATCTGGTGAATCCGGCCGATATGCTTGCTCCAGTAGGCACATGCGGCGAGTCCACGCCGTAGCCGCCGATCAGCACCTTGGGGACATGCCCCGTGAACGAACGCGCGCGCACCTGGCCGCGCGCCTGCAGCCGCCACTGATAATCGGGTGTCACAACTAATGTCACCGGTCCGGGGAACAGCTGGTGTGCCCCGGGTAGAGTCCTGGCTTTGGACCTTAACTTGAGATAGATGGATAGACTCCACAAGAGAGCCACAGGTACAAGTCACAGAAGACTCTTGTCTCTGTTCAGGTTACCATCGAGAGAGGATAAACAATACTTGATACTTACTGCAGTCGAGTACATGAACCAGCGAATTCCGGCTGTTTGGACGATCCCCTGTCGAACAAAGCTTTTCCAAAGTCGTTCAGCCCCAGAAACAGTAAAGATCTTCTACGCTGGCTTAACGTCAACTTCCTCTCGGAGGGTTTAAACCGCCGGTGTCTCGGTCCTCTCGGATTCGTCTCCAGCAAGTGTATCTCTATCTGCTGTCATGCAATGTGTTGCAGAGTCCCAACGTTTCGGATTCAGGTCGCTATCCTCTGCACCTCAACAAACACTTTCCGGTCATCTGAGGCGCAGACGTGAGGATTCGACCTGCTCACGGAGTATCGTGGTCCTCGGACTCCTCCTGCTGAAGACACGTCCGAAGGCACGTCTTTGACTCCTCCTCTAGTGAGGCTGAAGGCTCGAGGTTGCTGGATCGAGAGACCAAGAGGAATTTGTTGAAAGATGATCCACGTGTCATTGACCTTAGCAAACTTTAGCACTAGCATGGGTATAGTGCCTCAACGCCCTCAGACTGATGTCCAGTAACCTAGTCAAGTGACCACTCCCTTGCCCTCAAACTGACTAAGCGAGAGAGTGTATATACACTGAAGAATGAAGATGGCCGCAGCATTGGACCGCCTCCCAACAGAGATCCTACCTGGGATTCTGAAATTTCTGGGCTGCCATTGCAGCGGGAAACACCTTCCGGAACCACCAGATGCGTATATTCGTGGCGACCGGCAGGAGCAAGCAGCCATCTGTCCGCAACTGCGGAAACTCATCAGCAAGGACGAGGCGGACGCCCTCCGGGTGGTGGCACACGCATCAGGGATTGAAGAACTGCAGCTTCTCTCAGCTGCTGACCTGCTTACTGTTTGATTATGGCGCTACCGAACCTAGAGCATTGCAGCCTTCAGGTCGGCCCATATCACGATCACATCGTTCGCTCCGCGGGGCTACGCGCGGCCGGGATTTCACGCCTGGCTCTCAGGACCCTCGACATTTTCTTGAGAGCTACAGCATGGGAAGCGCATTACGGGAGTCTATTCTACCTTGACAAGCCTGCGCGTTCTCTCTTAAACTTGTCTGCAGGTCTAGAGACACTCAATCTTCACATGTGTAAGGGCATTTGTCGCCGGGTTCGATTTCCCTCCCTGCCGAATCTTAGACTCTTCGTCTCACATTCAGCCGACTTGGCGAGCGGGACCTTGAAGGGCTGCTTTCGTCTCGTAACGGCTTACGCAGCTTTTTTTATGAGGCCACTAATTGCCCCTTAACTGGATATAACAGTCCCTACGACTGCAGCGATCACTTTCAGCTGTCAATGCGGTGCGATATCTCAGCCGCCACCGCGCAACACTTGAATCTCTGCATCTTGACCTTCGAAAGCGGGGTCACACCCAAGATGGCCCGGAGCCACGGGCTATCTTCAGCCTTCGAGAGTTCACTGCGCTGAAACATCTGTTTCTTAACTTGGACGAGTTCTACACCCGGTTCTGGGCAGGGTCTCATGGAGGAGATCCAGAACTGCTCGTCCAACTTCTTCCTCCTGGCATCACATCGATACATCTAACGCGCCATATCACGGGGGGAGCTTCCTCGCCTGGAGGAAAGCCTGCTGGACCTTGCTCACGCTGCTTCGAGCGGCCAATTCCCGAGGCTGGCGCAGGTTAGATGGGACCAAAAAGGAGAAACTCCATAGTCAGTGTATTGTGAGGGCTATGTGTGCAGCTGCCGGGGTCAGCTTTGGTTATGACAGTTGGCCAGTCGCCGTCCCCGAATTATCTCAATCGATATCCGTTGAGGGGCCCGGACGAGCCCGATCTCTGATCGTCGCGTGCGTCTGTTTTGCAAGATCCATGCCAACGAACCCCTTATCACCGTAGTTGCAACATAGCATCATGCTTCTCTGTCCCCTCGACAGGCGCAAGCCACTCTCTCCGCCTCGCACAAAAGACCTCCAGCTTGGGCTCCCACTCGCTCTTCGCAGGCCCTAGATCCATGGTCCCAGAGGTGACGGTCACCGCAGTAGGGGCGAGGGACTCGCTGCTAATAAACAAGGGCGAACCACAGATCGAGCAAAACGACCTCGACAGCGGTTTCCCTGATCCGGTGCTCTTGTCGTCGTAAACTCTCAGGGCATCTTCTCCTGTAAGAACCTGTAGTTGCTATAGACGGATTAGCTGACTGTAGTCATTCCTGAGCGGAGGATTGTCACGTACATCTTTCATATAGAAGCTGTTTGCCATGAAGGCTGATCCTGTGCTTTTGCGACAACTATCGCAGTGGCAGATGATGGTTGATTTGGGGGGCCCGGTCACTTTGTAGCGGACTGTCTGGCAGAGGCAGCTGCCGGTCACGATGTCGGGGGTAGACATCGTTTAGCTGCGAGCACGGTGAGTATATCTTTTGATGGAGGGTGAGAAAACAAGGAGAATCGCCGTTTCAACCTTGATGATAGTCCGGCGAAGACAATTTTGGTTTTGTAACTTTGATCAGGCAAGGCTGACATGGCGGGGTAGATATCCACAAAATGATGGTCGCCTAATATGACGGGCCTGGTAGAAACTATTCGAACTAGAACTCTCGAACTGACTAGAAGTGACTAGAAGTGACTAGAAAGACGAAGCAAAGATGTTGGCGATCTGTTGCTTAACAACGCTCGGCAGTCGTCCAATCATTTAAAACAGGAATAGGCAATACAGATAGATATGGAAGGCTTCCCTCATTCGACAAACCTTCCATCTCGTCAATTTGATCAATTTGATCAGCAAGTCGCTGAGATATTGATGATATCCTACTCATCGGCAGTGATCTACTAGATCACGCGTTGGGCTGCGTATATTAACTATGCAAATGCCTTCGTCTTTGCCACATAGGGTAGATAGATCGCCTAGATACACGTGTTTGAGAAGAATCAAGCCTGTGTGAGCTTTTGGATATTGTACTGTTTTGGGGGAAGTGTAGTAATCTCATATCCAGGATCTATAGGGTATATCCTGCAAGCGTGCATATATCTCTATAACGATATCTAGCCCTATGAAGCCAGATCTCTCAGTAAGCTTTCCTCCAAGCAGACAAATCCACAGTTGACACCACAGTACTCTATATCACTTCAACTGAACCATGAGTTACATTGCTGATAGCCGTATATCTCACTAGCGAGGTTCCCTTCAGAATGTGACTCATTTGGGAATGCCAGCTCGCCTTGAGACAGCATCTGATCAAACACAGATGACGAACTGAACAAATAGTCGTCTACACTTGATAACGTTGCTTGATCCTGTCCAGGTGCAGAGCCTATCCCGTGCAGGGACATTGAGCTACGATCAGGAGCGGGTCCTTGTGTGAGGTTGGATCGCTTCTCAACAACTCCGTCATCTACAGGCGTCATTGAGCCTGGCTGACTGATGAAGGCCTGGGACAGCAAGACAAACTCATGGAACAGCCGCTGCAGTGTGGCAATCGGTTGACTGACCGTCCCGCTTTGTATCAAGCAGTTCGCGACCGTGTTTAAAAGGTGGAAATCGCCTAGATGGGATGTCGCGACGGCGTTGCAGAATAGGACGAAGCAGGCGGTCAGAGGATAGTAGAGCAGAGTCCTGAGGATTTGTCAAACACGCCAAACCGTTGGGATGAGCAAACTAACCAGTGCAGAAAGGCAGCAGTTCTTTGCTGATTGCTTGGTCGACACAGACATACCAGTGCCGAGAGCTCCTGGCGAGCTGACTGGAGGTAAAGCCCTCCAGCGCCATGGATCTCACCCGAGTTCACTTGTGTTAAGTGGAGGATGGTGGTCATGATTGAATGATAACCGAAATCGAGGGCCGCGACTTCGCAGTGGACATCCAGGCCTTTCCACAGAGGCGATGGAGGCGAGATCTGGCGGCGGTCCAGTCAGCTTTCAGCTAATAGCACTGATAAATGCACTATGGGAGTACCTGGTCTATCTTGCGCCGAATTCTATTCATTTTCAGGAATAACTGGATTCGCGCATGACTAAAGGATTGGCCTGCCGTTTGTCTTTCCGAGAGAGATCCGTCATTGAGGAAGGGAATCAGCACACTTTGTACATGCGCCAACCCCATGTAAATGGAGAAATGCTCAGAGACTGGAGTATCATCAATGTCTAATTCAACGGTGAGGAAACAGCTGAATCTTCCAAGCTTCCAGGCATAGTTTCTGTCAAGTATATAGCACCACATGGCGCAGAAGTACTCTTCTTCAGTTACACCTTGCGAATTGGCGACTGCATGGAGGCGGAGATCGACGCAAATCCTACAAGCAACGCGCGTCAAATCACAGCACAGCTGAGTCTCGCCTGACCCCTGGCATAGGAAAATCTGCTCCCTGTCAGATCGTGACGGAAGTAACGGATGTTTTATAACTCACACCGCAAAGGATAGCCTGTAAGAGAGCGAGTGAAGGTGATGTCAAGAGTGGGATCCTCCTCAACGCAGCCTGGGCCGTTCGCTTGTACTTCGCAGCGCGTTCTCGTAGCATCTGGGAAAGCTCACCGTCATCTTCATCCACCAACAGACAATTTATAAACTTGTAGGCCACTGAATTGACGCAGACCGTGTAAAGGAGAGTGTCATGGGGAGATGCGGTCTTGCGAAGAAGCGACAGTCCCATATGCTTAAGTGTTGATCGAGACACGTGTTTGAAGTAATCCAATACAAATGATCCGAATCTGTCGCCTCCAAGATCTATGAGAATAAGTCAGTATTACATGATATCAAAGAGTCTAAGGTGCTGTAAACATTGTACCATTCAACATCCAAGTCAGAAACTCAATGGACGGTATCTCTGGCTGTTCCTCGCCGTATCCCCCGACGTTTAGAGGGCTCGCAGAACCACCAATACTTTGCGAAAGATGACTTGCGACATAGAATGCTGACTCGATAACTTGGATCCTGTTCCAGGCAAGACCCTGTATACGGTCTAGTGGGCGCTGTTTCGTTAAGTGAGCATCTGTTAGCGGAACTAACAAGATCCATCTATGGAGCTCTTGCTCTCTATCTTGATCTTGGTAATTCCCCTGTTCCGTGATCTTGAACGACATTGTGTAGTCGTCCATGTCGGAAAGGGTGTTATCTGTTGCAGATGTGTTGCTTTGCCGAACTATCTCAAAGAAAGAACCACCACGAGCGTCAGGTAGGAGCGGAATGGGTGAAGTCCGGCTCGACTGAGGCGCACTGCTTGTCATTTGTGCGTGGAGTGAGACTCTTTTTGGTAGTCGTCTCCTGCTCCGTCGGCGAGTACATGCAGTTCGTTGGTCCTGACAGTTCCCACAAGGGTCATTCCTGTCACATCGCACCTGTAACAATGGTTAGAGCGCAATTAGAATGATGCAGGGGATAAGTTCCTAGGCGGATGTCCATGGCTGAATTACTGAACATGGATTCTGAAATATCCATACCTTTCTAGAATGGCATGCGTCACACTTCGAAAATATTAGCAGAAAGGCCCCTAATGGGCTAGGAGAACATACCACCGAATAGTGCTGAGACCGCAGCCGGCCTACGCCTGAAGAAACCATTGTTCTTATACTTTTCTTTCCTCCTTTGGATTGAAAATCCCCGTTCTGTTGAAGTCTATCGATTCACGGTCATACAAACCTCGAATTTACCCCTGTCCTCTTTATGGATGGTTGTGCTTCGATAGACACGCTCGAGTAATCCAAGAATCCATATTACTAGATCTTTGGATGTCGATGAAAAATGGCAACTGAGAACGGGAGAGGTAAGTAACATCAGTACCGAGAAGCTAAAAAGTCTGGGAGAGGATCCAGCCTGCCTCACTCGGTCCCGTACGGTCCCCACAGTCTGTGCTGCACGTTCCTGTGGCTATGCAATCCAGTTAGGATGACTTAAAATAAACATAAAAAATAAAGACCAACCAGTGTAAGACAGCAATAATACTAAGGCTTAGGTTACACAACACAAAACCTGTACGTCTCCATGTTTATGCAGGTGATCTTGAGGCCAGGCAGTTGAATGATGTGCAGTCGGAGATTGCCGACACCAAGGCTGATATAGTGCAGCTACTTTAGGTACCTCGCCTGGAAATAGACACCATTCGTTAGGGTTTTGGGACTTGGGCTCCATTCTTATGCCGAGCCAGTCATTGTGAAGAATAAATATAGTCGGCTTTCAGGCGCTTGGCGTTCGGGACCCTCAGTCTTAAGTGGAGATATCGCGACCCATCTGCGCTTCATCATAGTCTAGATAGAAAACTGCGACACAATGGCATCGTCGTTTAGATGAGCTGAAACACTCAACATTGCCTCCAGGTGAGAGAAGGGCAGTGAAGATGTTCAGAAATCTATTTGTTATATCATCCATCTAGTTACATTAAATAAGAGAAATTCTAGCTCATGATGCTCTGTCTTTCTTTGGCAATCCGCTGCTTAGAGATATATCTTCTCTTGTCCGGTCCAGTAGAAGTTGATCTTTGGAATAGTTCAGGCTCGTCTGCTGGCATATAAGCTCATTGTTGTGGCGCTTGGATCATTCATGTTGTCTCGCTTAGGACACTCCTTGTCGTTGTCTTCTAGAATGGACGTCCAAATACAACTGGATAAGAGGGAAGCAACCTATACAAACCAGGACACAGTCTCTGGCCGCCTCATTCTTTATACCAGATCATCAGTCGATATATCAGCGATACAAGTTACTCTCTCTGGCTCAGCATTATCCAGACTGCACTCGGGGAGGCGCACGGAATCGCACCAGGCAGGTTCTGGCGATGGAATGAGCGCAGCATGTGCTAATCATCCTCTCAGTTGTTTCATAAAATGCAGAGAGTCTTTCCTCCTCCTTCTCAAGGAAACCTCGACATGGCTTCGTTCACTCTCGGTCACGGAACATACGTCTTTCCATTCTCCATTCCAGTAGGCAATGTGTCCCTACCATGAGATTTGAAAGTCTACCGCTAACAACTCTTCGCAATCTCTAGTTTCCTCAAGTCTCCGAATGCTATAGAACCAGCACGGATGGAAATCGCTCTCGAGGCAGTTGTGGGAACCTATCGAAAAAGAATCGCCAAACTATACATTTACTTCGGAGACTTCCACCCTCCACTACTATGGATCGAGAAACCGCTGGAGAGATCACCTACACGCTAAAAGCAAGCATCAGGACTGGTGCAATAATCAGGGGATCAGAGATCATCACAGTTGAGCGTCCCGTCGCATCATTACTTTCATAAGTTAAGGAGAAAAGAGAATAGCTAAAGCTAACGATCTAAATATTATCTAGTCTCGAGGTATAAGCTTCTGTCCGGTTACCGACTTCAGCCCTCCCTCACATACCCTCACAGAGAGACATTCAATCATCCTCAACCCAGGAAATCGCGAGAAACCCATACCGACAAGTTATCAGATTGATGTCCGACTCTCAGATGGAGCTTGTCTCCTCCTCGGTGGACCAATCCCCCTGACGATATATATAACGAGAATCACCGGACCCGGCTGCGACCTCATCCTGAATGACTTCCAGTCAATGCTCATCGAAACAACCGAGGCACGAGCACATGGATTCGTCGAAACCAGCATACAAATCCACGTCCTACAAACAATGAGCAACGTGCGCAAACAAGCATATGCTTCTAGCACACCTGCGGGCTCGGCAGTGAGCCTTGATGACGACCTGTGGAGACATCATCGGCTACCGCGCTCACTAACACCGACGTTTGAAACCTGTAATATCAGCCGCAGTTACAAGCTTCAGGTACGGCTTGGCTTCAGGTTTGGGTTTGCAAATGTAAGGCGATCACTTTTTCCCCTTCTTATTCTATACAATCAGGACTGAGACATGGCTTTCTCTGATTTAGGTCCTGACTAGAGTTTTGGAAGTTGAGTTTCCGGTATACATTGTGGCAGCTTGTCGTCCGAAGAACCCGCCTCGAGCTTCTTAGGTTTTTAAGCAGCATGCAGCAGATAGCTTACGGTTGGCACAAAGCACTGAAAGATGTAACGGACGAAATCCAATCCGGCTGATGGAAAATCTATATATATATGTTTCTCGCTTGAAGAATATCAGTGACCAGTTTGGAATTACAGAAACCTGAATACGATCTAAGAAGCAGCGCCATGATTGGCATTATTTCTTATCTGAAGGCCGTGACGGAGCCGTAGTTCCTACCAGTTAGAATCGGTTACGGACCATGTGTGTCTGCTGGGGAAAAACGGACTCGATCCGAGGAACCGACTGCGCCTGTGACTTTTAGACATGATCCGCTATAGCTCCGCGGAGTCCTCAGTGCTGGCTGCAGAGGTTTAGAATCTCACTACTAAGTAGCCATCCGGTCCTCGGCCCAGCGCCGTCATTGCGATAGATGCTTTGTCTGGCTCCGCGGATACAGAATCCCAACTTATGATTCATTGACTCTAGGCCAACTAGCTAGTTACTACATCTATTGTCGGAGCATCCAGCTCCACAGCTACTCCAGTATGCCCTCCTTTCATCATTTGTAGGTGAATACCACCCCCGTCCCATGGAAGGCGTTGACAGGGATCGTCCGTTCACATACACTACAAGTCTCACAGATCCCATCCTCTTTCATGAGTCGGACGATGCTGTCGAGGTGCTCCCTGGGGTGTTCGCGAGGAACGGAATCCGTCTCTCTGCGGTGGGAAAACAGGAAAGGAAGAACAGCAGATAGAAGGCTGGAGTGAGAAGCTTGGCTTTTTGAGTTTGAGGATTTGACTGGACCAGCGATCGCTAGTTCAGGGTTGCCGTGGCTTGAAGACGGCCCCTATCGTTGTTGTATTGCGCCAGGCTGATGAAACTGGGCGCCAGAGCCCGACGCCTTTGCGGTATGCTTATCGTCCTGCGGGACCAGTCCTGTGGACGGATGAGCATGTTGGCAACCATACTTTCACGTAGACCGCAGCCAGACGGCCTCAGAAGGCATGTCATTCTTGGCAGAACTATCAACCACCTCTCTCAAGGCTCTGCCGTAATCTGCATATGCTTCTTCTTGCCCTTGGTGTATACACGCTGATCGTTCGGGTCAAAACCACCATTACCCCACAGTGCCCAGTCCTCGGTTTCCCTCATGTAGTCTTCGGGGGTAAAAGACGACCCATCGGCCTTCTCCTTCTCCAAAAGCTCGAAGAATCGATCGTAATCGATCCGAGTGTGCCATTTGCCATTGACGTAGAACCGTTCCGAGGCAATCAGCACACAGCAACTGTGCGCATGCTCCGCGGCGATGCCATATTTCAGACCACGGCGCTGCAGCTCGGCGTTGAGAGCAGTGACGAACTGGGCAACTTCTTCGTAGAAAGGTACATTCTGCATGGTCAAGCCAACCCCAGCAGTGGTGCTTGTGCCACAGAACGTCACGCCTTTTATTTCGACGAAACACGGAAGTGCCTTCTCCACCAGATTTGCGTAGCCGATGACTTCATCATCGATGTTGAATCCCTTGACCAAGGTAAGACGGAAAACAGTGCGCTGGACATGGCGCTTCTCCCGTAGAATGTCTAAGCAGCGTTGGAAGCGCTCCCAGAAATCCCGATGCAGAGGACGATCAATCTTCCGTAGACTCTCACGGTTGCTTGCATCAATGGATACATATAGTTGAGTTACGCGACGCAGAGCTTCAAGCTGATCAGGATGTTGAGCATTGCATACCAGGAAGCTGGAGATGTGTTCGGCGTGCAGCATGTCCAGGAACTCATTGATGTGAGGATAGAAAATCGGTTCGCCGACCAAACTCAAGGCACAGTGTCGGATGCGCATGGCCTCAGCGAATCTCTCGGCTCGCACACCAGGAACGCCACGCATCATCTTGATCTTCTTGTAATGGCCCTCCTTGACTCCCTGGAAGATCAACTCCGGAGAATCCACTTTCCAACGCCAAGTAGTTCCGACCGGGTTGGTACCGTGGCGCCAGCAGAAGACACACTTATTGCTGCAAGACAGCGACGGTGTAGCCTCCATGCAAAGATGCGATCGAATACCGTAGAAGGAGTACTTGTAACATGAGCCTCGACCACGTAGCGCAGATTTAGTCCAACGGCAGATCTTGACACCGGAGTGAGACCCGACAATCGTATAGCCTTGCTTTGTTAGAGCAGCGTAGGTGGGTGATGTCTTGGGGACCATCTCTTTCTCGGTTGATTGACCAGAGGAAGATTTTCCTGTGGTTGTAAAATCCACGGGGATTGGCGACCCGGCCGCATTCTGATCACCTCCAAACTTGATGTCCTCCAAGTCCATGACATTTTGAGTATTGTCCTTGTCTGCGTCTTCATCGTCCAATTCCTCGTCACTCTCAACGGGATCACCACTGCCAGGTACGCCTTCTCCTAGTCCACCGTTCTTGAGAATGTCAAAAAGGACGTCTTGCAATCCCTGAGACCACTCTTTCAAGGAGGATTCAGCGTCACTCTTTACATCACCGAATCCCAAAGGATATGCTCGTTTACGCCTCGTTAGTTTGGCCATCCATTTGTCCAGCTCTTTGGCTTGAGAGCAGAAGCCTTCCTCCTCGGTAGGCCAGCCTTCCTTATCACCAAATCCGAAAACAGAGTAACCGGCGAGGCTTGACAAAGGACCTGTGTCGATGCGGAAGTCATTATGAGTCTCGTTAAGATGGTCAAGGAACGTATTCAGGATACTGTCGATGTTGTAGGTAGGGATCAATAAGCAGTATACGTAGCCGGTACCGGGTGAGTTTGACGGAGGCTTCGGTGCAGAGGTGAAGTAGTCGTCGAGATCGACGTAGGAGAGGTCGTGAATCTGAGGGGGTAGAAGGCCACGCTCGCGATCCTGCAAATCAGCCCGCTTTTGGGCCGCAGCGCGCAATTCCTCCAGCAGTATTTTGGCATATCTTTCGGTGTTGCCAGTCAAAGAAGCGTAAAAGATGATGGGTTGGATAAAGGCGAGGGGCTCCGCATCCTCTGTGAGTCCTCGTCGTCCGGCAACCTTCAATGGCTTTTTACCGGTAACTCTCTTCGGACCTGAAGTGGTTCTTGCTGAGCCGTTGGCCACGGCGGGTTGCCGTTCAGCCTTCTGTGTCGTTGCTTTGTTGCTGCTCTCAAGCGAGACGCCTTTCTCTGTCTTTTCGGGGGATTGGCTTCGGGGTGATGGTGGAACCGAAGACGAGGCAGTGGTTTTCGTTCTGGACTGAAGTTTGCGGTAGAATCGTAAACCCACGAAGACGGTTGAGAGAGCGACCAGGAACAGTAGACGGTACGAGTGCCAGAAGGCCAAAAGACCTATAAACGAACTATCGGTCAGCATGATATTGGTGGGAGGGTCTCGTTTTGTCAAACCTTCAGCCGTGGAGTGCTCCGCCATGATGATTCCAATGAATCGATAAACAGCAGTGCAAACCCTTTTTCTGTTTTTAAGCTGTCGCGTGAATATGTAGTCGCATCCGCGGAGAGAAATTTGAGAAGGCGGGATAAAATTGATTGACAGACGGCGATCGGGCCAAGTGCGGAGAAGCCAAGAGGGGCACAAATCGGGTCCGTCTGTTTGTAAGCAGCTCCAAGCATTGAGAGATGGAAGAAGTGAGCGAGGAATACTTGCACAAATGACGATTTAACTGGATATTCCACCTTTCAAGAGCCTTTTGATCAAAGAAGTTGCTGTCAGGCAGTTGAGAGGATATATTTTCCCATCCAGATGGGACTCTGATTGGCTGCCGCGTTTTGTGCTTGCTGGGTTACAGGTAGACACCTTAGGCAGGAATCAGGACCCGAAGGATCATTTCAGTTTATACTTCGAAATAAAACAATAAACAGTAATCGTTATGTCCTTGCTATCCTCATCCTTTGAGGAAATAAATCGACCGAGATCAGATAGTTATATATTCGCCGCATGATGAGACAACCTAAGGAATGCCTCCCTCCCTTGATAGTCAACCTCAGACCTGAGATAAGGGACTTAACAACTTGAATTGCACAAACACAGATGGTCTGCATCAATTATCTTCGAGAGCGTATTAATTCCTCTGGTCAGATGGAATAGAAAAAGTCATGGTATGATTGCATGAAGATAGGAATCGTCAATTAACTATCTGTGCTATCGATTGTATTTGTCAGCCCAACCAGCCTCGCCTCTAGTGCTGTCACTCCTGAGAGTGTAACTGATTTCCTAACACGAACTTCTTGATATCGATTGACCTCGATGACGTACCATCAGATGTCCAGCAAGATGTCTGATGAGAAGAAGCAATCCCTTGAGAGCTTCTCATATGATGAAGAGAAACATGTTCAAACTTCCAAAAACACGTCCTTTGCTCGCTATCTTCGACGTTTGGCTGTGACGCTCGTATTGGCATGCCTTCTTCTTTTTACGACGGTGTCTCCCCGATTGAGCGCGCCTCTTAGCATTGAGCAGAGAGTTGACAAGATTTTGTCAGGCACTCCATTGATTGGTACAATATCCTTCAAATTTAGCGCGGCGAGTATGCTGACGGCTATACAGATGGCCACGATGACCTTCCAATCTCCATTCGGGCTTTCTTCAACAACAAGATTTATGCGGACAATTTTACTGTTCCTTTTACCCAAGGAAACCTCAAAGGCCATGTTGACCTGCCGCGGCTTTCTAAGGGCAAAGTCGGCGGTACCTTTTGGAGTGTGTATGTCGAGTGTCCTAAGAATTGGGAGGATTTCTCCGATGCAACCTATACAACGAGTAGGCATTTCAAGTCCTCGGATTTCAGACCCACTGCTAAACTGATCAACAGGTGTCCGTCAAACATTTGAGCAAGTCGACCTCATGTCGCGCCTAGCAAAGGCCTACCCTGATACATTTTCATCTCCTCCGAATGGAACAACCGCTCTTCAAGCTTTCCTTGATGGCAAGATCATTTCTCCCTATGGAATTGAGGGCCTGCACTCTATCGGTAACTCCTTGGCTCTGTTGCGAAATTTCTATAGCCTTGGAGTGTCATACGCCACACTGACACACAACTGCCATAATCGTTACGCGGATGCCGCTTTGACCGAACAGCACGGCAGTATCAGAAAAGCCATTCCGCACTGGCACGGGATCAGTGAAGCCGGAAAGGATCTAGTCTATGAGATGAACCGGATGGGCATGATAGTCGATCTCGCTCACGTCAGTGTGGACACAATGCGAGACGTCCTTGGTGCCGGTAAGGACAATTGGTCCGGCAGTCGTGCGCCAGTGATATATAGTCACAGCTCTACGTACGCGATCTGTCCCCATCCTCGCAACGTTCCCGACGATGTGTTAGAACTCGTCAAGGCAAAAGATTCGCTGGTTATGGTCAACTTCTCGCCCGACTTCATTTCGTGTACTGCGTCGGACTACCCCGATGAACTACCACAGACTGATATGGAGCATGCTACGCTTGGAAAAGTTGCGGACCACATTATGCACATTGGTGGTCTGATTGGTTTTGAACATGTTGGTTTAGGTAGCGACTTTGACGGTATCCCGACTGTTCCTCGGGGTCTAGAGGATGTGTCCAAATTCCCCGACCTGATCGCAGAGCTTCTACGACGAGGTGTCAGTGATGAGGATGCTGCCAAGGTCGCAGGGGGTAACCTACTGCGCGTATGGAAGCGAGTCGACGAGGTCGCCCTGCAGATGCAAGCTGAAGGAGCTTTACCGGTGGAAGACAATATAGTCTACGTTGCTTGATGGCGGCAACATGTTCTTCATTTTCTTTTGGTCATTTCTAAGGCTGCGTATCAAAACTATGTAACAGTATCAGGAAATGCTGCAATAACACATAAGACATAATAAGATCATATACAAAACCTGCCCTTGCGAATTGCGATTCTCAGGCAGCCCTTGCCTTTACGGTATCATCCTCAACTTTCACCCTCAGCCGATGTAGTCCTCTTCAGCAATTCAAACCCCTTCAGCAAATTCCAACCCTGATCTTTCAGAAACTTATACTTGCCCTGTGACTCTAGGCTCTCACGCACCTCGTCCTCCGTCGCCCACTCAAACGCCTGATGCTCAGCCTGCTCCAACTTCACCCCGTCCTCCCAGCGCTCCGGCGCAACCCCCACCACCACATCCTCGGAGGGCACACCAGCCTTCCCACTCGCCTCATGCACCTCAACCAAAAACGTGAACTTGGCTACACGGTGCAACTCATTCCGCAAAGTCCGCGACCACTCGTCAATCGCAATCAAATCAACAAATTTGGAAACATGGAGTCCAGTTTCCTCGAACACTTCGCGCGCTACACCGGCCAGCAGCGTGGCGTCGGTGCGCTCGCACATCCCTCCTGCTCCTTCCCAGTGCCCGGGGTACGAGTCGGTAGCGGCGCGTTGGAGGAGCAGAACGCGCGTAACGGGCTTTTCGCTTGTCGATGCGGTGGCGTCATTGTCTTTTTCGACGGATTGAGAATATACCAGTCCCCCGACGACAAAGTCCGTTAGGTGTGGTTTGGACGCCGCGAATTCGGGCACAGGGACATTGTATTCGGCGAGATGAGGAGGGACGATGAAATCAGGAAATTGTGCCATGTCGGTCTTCGATGGGTGACAATATTGCGATGTTTGTGTTTCAGGACGAGCTAATGGTATCGACCCTTTGAAAGATGAGTCCTCGGCCTTTTTGTTCGTTCAGGCGAAGGATGGATGACTCATGCTATACGAAAGCTGACTCGATCGATCTTCCCGATGGTATAGGCAGTCGTATTTACTTTATTTAGGTTTTGAGCCTCAGATGATGCAAATATCGACAAAAACAGCCATCCCTCGACGAGAGCGGGGTGGTCAAGCTCTTATCACCAGATACCCCACATCTTGACGATCCATCGACTCTTGATACAAAGCAGTTGCCTACTGCTCACCATCATTGATATATACAGGCTCATAGAAAACTATATACAAGTCGAAAAATGTCACTGTAATATGATTGCTATAGTCAAATCAAGCACAGTTTGCTTTCAGGCTGCTGCGGTATCAGGAAACCCGCAAAGAATTTTCCAATCTGCGTATAGTCACCCAGGCTCGTCACGGCGGATACATCTGTACAAGAATTAGCATTAGCTTTTCATACTGACGATTTGGATCCTCACATTGATCTGGACGGACAATCACGATTGCGCCTTTCTCGGGACTAATCCCCAGGTGCTCATAGCAGTGGCCATGACCCTTGTTATAGCTCTCGTCGTCGTAGTAGATTTTGTGAAGGTCTGATGATCGTTAGCATATCTTACTACGGAGAATTCTTTTGAATTTCGGAGGCCTGCCTTTGATTTGATGCTTTCCAGTCACAGGGTAGAAGCACTCGGGAATCTGTTCCAATTCCACGGCGTGGCGGTTGCCATGGCCCACCAGAATGGGCTCAATAAGACTGTCGACATCACCTCCCTTGGGGCGGAAAGTATGGATAGGACTCTCTGTTGAGCCGAGGTAGTCACCAATCTACTATGAGGTCAGCAAAACTCATCCAAAACCTCACTATGGCGAGCGCCACCTACGGCTTTCAACTTTGTCCGAGTCTCTGCCGAGCTGACATCTCCTATAAAGACCATCACTCGCCAACGGCCATCTGACTTGAGCGACTGAGCTAATTGCATGGGCTTCGAGTCACTGAAGCGCACGACTTGAGCGCTGGGCAGTCTCATACCAACAACAATGTTCGTCGAAAGCTCGTCTGATTCGTCCACGTCGGATGTGATCGGTGACTGGTCATACCGCGCTGTCATTCCGGCGGTATACTTGCCCGCCTTGATAAACCCCTCCTGGAACTCAGCGGGAGAAGTCTGGCCTCCCGAGGAGAAAAGCTTGGAGAAATAACGGTCGAAGTTGATCAGATCGATCGCAACCTTCTGGCGTTCCAGGACATATGTCTCCAACAGGGAAGACGGCGCCAATTCTTTTAAGACAGTGGCTAACTTCCAGCCTATGTTGTACCCATCCTGCAAACTAACGTTCATGCCCTGGCCGGCCTTGGGGGAGTGCGTATGACAAGCATCGCCTGCAAGGAAGACGCGGTAATCCTTGTGAAAGTAATCTGCATGGCGTTGGCCAATGGAGTACGCAGACCACCAGACGGTTTCGACAAACTCGATCGCGTACTGACTGAGAATGTTCTTTGCTGCCTGTTGGAGATGCTCAAGCTTGACTTCCTTGGGCTTTGTGCCGGCTGGCAGTTCGATGTAAAACCGAGCCAAACTGCCACCTTCCCGGGGGATAATCAACAGGTTTCCTGCTTTCGAGCGGATGGTGGTCTTCTTGCGAATGTCGGGGAAGTCGGTGCGAGGAATCATGTCCATGACACCCCAGACGGCATCGGTGCTGTCTCCAATCATGTTGTAGCCGAGTGCTTTCCGAACGGTACTGTGCGCACCATCA